TGGGTCTCCCTCCCTGTGGGTTTCCCTAGTTCTCCTCCAAGGTTTCTCACTTTTTCCCACTGGGTTTTTTAAGAGTTTTTCCTTGTCGATGCAGGAGGGTCTTGTTGGACAGTTAGTGTCCAACAGAAAGGATTGGTGATGATCAGGACACTTTAGCATTCTACAACATGTATGGACATTTTCTTCTGTGTGTGCTTTATATTCTCCATGTGTTTTAACTGTTGATTCTCTGACCTGTGTTGGTGATTTCAATGGTTTTGTTAAGTCCTCTGAGATGACTTCTGTTGTGACCTAGGGCTATACAAGAATAAATTGTATTGTATTGTGTATTGTATTGTATTTATACACATCTGTTTAGACAAGCCTATTCACTTACACCATAACTATACATCATGCTCTGTTCAGGCCAATTTTAACTTTGTATTTTAACTCTAACTCTTTAAATGTACTTTTTACCTGTTATTTGACGCGACCTTAAGTGCCTGAAATGCGTCTAAGGAAAAGGCATTATTATTATTTTCCGTTTTTGGCCCATCCAATATTACAAACCACTCTCTTATACATGACTCTCTCATGACACACACACACCCACACGCGCATGCTGAATTACCCCCCCCCCCGTCCCCCCAATGGGACCTGCCCCCCTCCCCAGAGAAGGCCTCTAAAGCATCCGGAACAGATGCCTCCTCTCACCACCTCAGCTGCCTCCTGTTTGTGTAGCTACCCTTAAGACTGACCGACTTATGTGGATCTCCAGGGACCTTCAAGTTTCCTGCGGAGACCTCTTCCATACGTCATTAGATGTTTTAGCAATAAAACAGCGTGAAATGTGTGAAGGAAATGAATGACGCTGGTTTAATAACTGTCAACCTTGGGGAGATTTAAAAATAAACCATTGTGAGTTATTCTTCTCCTCTAACATCGTACACTGGGCAAGTCAAATGCTTTGAGTGGGGTATTTTATGATGACAGGGCAGGGCAGAACAGGATTATAAACCACAGGATTGAAAGCTATATATGGGCCGTCCTTGAACCAGACACCAAATCCTGATCCCGCTGCGCTTCTTGGGAGGTAGAGGAGGAAGTGAAATTTCCCTACGGACGACGATACGGGATCAGTTTCCCTTTTTGATGTGGGTTAACTTTGACGAATGAGCCGCAAAGAGCCCAGGGAAATAGAACGTCTTCACTCAGCGCTGTCCGTGGTGCTGAAAATACCTCGCCCATTACTTTACATGGGAGAAAAGCAAAGATAGATGGAGATGATGGAGAGAGGGATTATCTTACATTTATTATGACAGAGCAAATTAACTAGGAAGCCATTATTTTTATCTAGTGACAGCGGTGGGGGTCTATTCTTGGCGAGTACTTACAGAACTGCTTGAAGTTTAGCAAGGTGTGAACGCTGATGATAAATGGTCTTTTCTCAGCTTCTCCCCTTCTCAAAATATACCTGGAGCTGTTCTGGAACGGGAACATAGTATGCATCAATTGAACTTACAGTATTACAGTGGTTCTCCTCTGTCATTCAATCACCCGACATGTAAGTCATTTATCATCTCAACACATTTTTGATTTTAGGTATATATGTATGGCAATGCCGTCGTCATACCAAATGATAGTAAATGCTAATCCTCAGATCCTGTGTCTGGTTGAGCCTTTGTTTTTCTCATTTTAATTTGATCTTCAATTTGTGAGATTATTTATCTTGACGTTTATGACAACACATATTCTCACATGTAGTAATCATTCATTCATTTTCATCCCTTTTTACTAGTCAATTTTGGGGTCGGTGGGGTGGCAATCAGAGCTGCCACCCAATGCTCATAGCACCAGTCCCTCACTGATCCTCTGCAGATGGTGAGTCCACGGGAAGATGGCTGCTCCGTGGTGAAACAGCCTTGGTGTTTCTTTCCCAAGGACACAACGACAGCAGACATCAGTGGGAGCAGTTGAAGTAGGTCCCATGGTGGACTCGAACCCACGCTGTTTTGTTTATTTCAAACATGCACAAGATAAACATTTTCACAAGAAAATACGATTATAAGAGAAAACAAGAAAACCTGTGCATGGTTTGAAAAGAGATTATTGTTGCATTTCCACAAACACACGCACGCGCGCACACACGCACGCGCGCACACACGTGCACACACACACAGTAATTTATATGATCCTATGTAGGGCTGGGACAACGCACCAACGTAATCGATGACGTTGAGGCAAAAAATACGTTGATACAAAATATGCACGTCGATTCGTCATACTCAAAACAAAGATGGCAGCGAGTAGTAGCAGTAGTACCATGGATCTATAATAAGTAGTACGCGAGTGCCGTCTTATGGGGCGTTCAGTCCGCACAGTAGACGCACATTCTCTAAATTGCTTGGGGTGTTCAGACCAGTGGTCCTGGGTTAGCAGCGTTTAGCTAGCAGCGTTTAGCTTGCGTCTTTTGTGTAAAGTTCTTCTCCAATACTGTAGCGGCTCTGTGTCCAGAGACTTTATATAACAGTATGTGTTCACGGAGGTGCACCATAAGTTTATTTAATTATTAGACGGTACTTCCGCATCTGCGAATATGCTAGCTGAGCTACAGACAGTTTTCTTAAGGGGAAAGGAAAGTGTCAACGTGTTATTTGTGAATGAAGATGATTTTTTTCAGTAAGCTAGGCCTATGTTTAACATAACTGTTGAATTCTAAATGTTTATTTTCATAATTTTTTGCTAGAAAAGCCCTCTCTCTTTAGCTTAAACCCCTCAAGTTTACATTGGTTACTGTATTCTTTCAGTTGCTCGATACAAGTATTTTGGGTGAACTTTTTTATTTTATTCTATTGAATACTAAACATCAAGTGTTATTTTCATTTGAAAGAAAAATAATTAGATGCACTTTTTTCAGTAAGCTAGATGTATTTTCAAGGCTTCAGGGTTTTATGCTACCTTTGACTAAGAATGTCTTGTTTTGAATTTTAAGAGCAATAAATATATTTTGTTAAGGAATTCATGTTTTTTTATTCAGATATGTAAATCAACGCACAAAACCCAATGTATACATTGCTATTAGTAAATTAATGGGGAGATAATTGATAATTGAATCGAACTGAAAAAATTAATCGTTAGATTAATCGATGCATCGAAAAAATAATCGCTAGATTAATTGCTTAAAAAAATAATTGTTTATCCCAGCCCTAATCCGATGCCTTGTTCCTGTTTCCTGGCTCTTCTAACCTCAACCGTCACTGCAGCTAGAGGCACATTGTTTTTTCTTCAACCTTGACTCAAAGCCGAGTAACTTAAAAACTCATAGATTGTTTATTTGCCGTCCTTTTTCCATTACCGTCGATAGATTGTTTACTACTACACGGTCCATTTTAAAGGTAGACTTCCACACCTTTATCTAAAAATATCCTAAAGCACTGCATTGAGAATGTGTGGATGGATCTGTGTTCAGAAATACCCACAACCAAACCAAGATATTTTTTGTGTTTACTTAAAGTTCATCGTTCCTGTTTTGGCAGCTGTGAAAAACAAAGTAAAGATAAAGCATTATTTATTGGAGTTCGCATATTTTGTATTTGGGCCGACGGAGGGGAAAGCTGACAGCTCAAAACGTAAACCGACCAAATAAATAAGTTTGCCCCAGGGGTTGCATCCCCTCGCGATATTCTTTATTTGCTCTTACACTTTTGTGGCACAGCATGTCACCAGGGTTATTGTTCCCCCGAGTGGAGAGAATAATGCTTTTATATCCGAGAAAATAACAGCAATAGTGAGAAGGAAATAGCGTTGCAGGCGACTCAGCAACTATTTCTCTCACCGGGACATCTGCGGGATTGAATTGAGAAGAAAAAGTGGCCATAATAAACACAGGTCCAGGTTCACCTCCTCACAAAGCTGCAGTATTGTTAGAAACTGGCTATTTTTACCGAGTACCTAAGTAAGTCATCTTTATTTATATAGCGCATTTCACACACTAAGGTCACACAAAGAACTTAAAAATGGTAGTTTTTTGTACAGTATAGAACTTTGCACTATACTGTATATATAGATAGATAGAGTTAAACAGACTGATATTGAAGCATTTATAGCTAGCTAAGAAACATAGCAGCTACTCATATTGGATATTTTTGTGTGCTCCCTGTGTGTATATTTGTATGTCCTGTATGTGCGCTGCAACATTGAAATTTCCCGAATAAAGGATCTCTAATCTTGTATCTGGAATTACCAGAAGCGAGACGCCAATAACACTGGAGCATCAAAGCCTCAGAAAATCACTATCCGTTTATTCACTCATTTTATGCATACTTATTGTACATGTTTTTAGCGGTAGGGGAAACCGGAGCACCCAGAGGAAACCGGAGCACCCGGAGGAGACCTATGCAGACATGGGGAGAACATTGCAAACTCCACTCAGAAAGGCCCTGTTCCGGCCGGGATTGGAACCCAGGACCTACTTGCTGAGAACCACAGTGCCCCCATAGAATAGAAGTGAGATATAAATACTAAGTAAAACAAAGAAATCAAAGTGACATGAGCAGACATACATATGCTCATTTATTTTCATTTATTTTAATATTTTCTTTCCAGGTATTACGAGATGGTGGGTCTGTTTTCAACCAAATGAGCGTAATACATTTCAAAGCTGCTGTAAAGAGTATATTTAAAATGTAGACTTCTGCTCGACTTCGAACAAATGAAGAAGTGGTTTTTCTCGGTAAAGTCACATGAAGCATCTGAGAGATCACCCTGTACACCTCATCCCAAAATAGTTGCAATTTAGAACACGACCAGAAAATATGAGCGTGATTAGGCCTTTTCCAATATGTTTTTAAATTTAATTTTGCTTTTACTTTGATTAAATACTAACATTTTGCAGCCCTGTCTTTCAGATTCTTTTCATTTTGCCTCCGTGACAATATATAAATGAACACTTATGTTGTAAAAGGAGAGTGTAAATTCAAAGTAAAAAAGCTTTCATAAAACCACAGCTATAAAACAACACGATGAAAGCTCGTCCTGGTCCGTCAGCTGAGTCACGCCGCGTCCAGGACAAGGTCAGTTTTGTTTTGAAAGTCGCTGCCAAAAGCTGGAGCTCTCCCGACGACCCTCAAACTTTCACATTTAGCCAAAGTCTTTCTCCTGACATTACATCCAAACCCAGTGTAACGAACGAGCTGCACGCCGTTTGGGTCCAGCTTAAACATTTAAAGCACTGGTCATTTGTTACGTTCGGTTTTTTTGGAGTAAGATTCATTGCAGGCCATTACTGCGGAGCTCAGAAATAGAACCGCAACGAGACACTGACAGAATTCTCTCCTTTTACATGAGCTTTCATTAATCATTTTCCATAATAGGCCGCATGGGATATGAGTGGATCATTTTTAAAAGCTATCGGGCTGAGGCAGAAGTCGGCACAAAAACAGATATTTACATTCATTTGTTGGAACAAACACAAGTTTTTGAGTTGTAGTGCATTTATGGTGGTTGAATAGATTCTATGGCACATCTTCTGAATGAGACTTTTGCCCGTACAGCAATGAGTTTGTCCGAGTCTTCAAATGGCCTCAAACATTTTGTCATAGCCAATCCATTAATACAGTGAATAAACTGTTTAAGTTTTAAGTTAAAGTTTATTTAAGGAATGGATGAATCATCTCATTTTCAAGGGGGGCCCAAACATAAATACAAAACATTTACAGAGCATTAAGGATAAAAAAGATAATTACATAAACACACAAAAAACAAAAACAAAACCTTGTACTTAGGCTGAGAATGTGAGAATCATTCGTTCTGTCTTTGAGAGAAACTCTGACTTGTTTATCCATGATCCCAAATCACTTATTTTCACAATATGTCCTTTGACTTTAAGGGGAGCTGTCAATATGACTTCTTCGGGAGTTCTAGTAGCTTCAGAATTCTGAGAGTCCTAGTGTTAAAGGTGAAACAGTCTCTACATGTCTTACAAATGTGTAATATACTACACTGTGTTGCATCACCTCTGTTAGTACTGTAGTATTACTATTAAACAACTGTTCCAAGTCTCTTTCTGTTGGCGGCAAACAAAATGTAGTATTTAAAAGAGCAGTACGTAAAAATCTGGCCAAAAGTGGTACAGCAACCTCTCCCACTCTCACTGACTCAGGTTGCCAAATATGCAGACAAATCCAGCTGGGACCATAATATCTGAATAGACAAGAGTTTTGTCAACAACAAATCTATAACTAACACCTGTTTCACAAAGGCCCTGATGGAAATCCTCGTTTTATTCTTTGTTTTGTGATTAATGATTTGAGAATCCTTGAGAAGACCTTTTTTAGGCTCGTTTACCAGTGAGTAAGCTCGACGCAGTGAGTTCTGGCAACCTGGATCTCGGACTGTCTGAAAACGGTAAAGGGCGGGACATTGAAATGAAAACAACAAGATCTACGGTTTGTAAAACTAATTTTGAAATTCAGTTATATGACTTGACCTGACTATTTTCCATATTGCTACTTCAAGAAACCCCAAAAGTTATGTCCAATTTTCCCTTGAATACTATCTCAATAAAATCCATGAAAGTACTTTCTGAAGTATGAGCCTTGCCTTCTCTACTCTAAGTATTTCTCTGGCTCCATTTGGCTCCTTCTGAGTCCCGTATCAGATATCGTCTCTGCAGCAAAGGAGGCGCTGGAGGAAATCGCTTTGGGACAGATCCACTTAAAGACCAGAAAGACACCTAAGCGCTTGAGGGGGTTGGTGAGGGGACACGGGAGAGGGGCCGGAGTGTTTTCCACGGGACGTCCGGAAGCTTCTATTATCCATAAGGACGAACATGAGAGCTGCAGAGAGATGAGGAGAGGCCCACGCAGGCTCAGGGATTAGACTCATTGACTGGGTAATGACTTTGGCTCCCAGCATGCCGAGGGGAGGCATTCCCGTAAATGTTAATGGCTGCCTGTATTATCTGCGTATAAAGATAAACAGGGAACTTTGTCCTCGTAAATGAACATCTGATCGTGTGCAATCATCAGAAGCAGATTTGGTTTTCAGAAGATGATTGTTTTATTGTATTAACTGACGAAAAAGAACGCAATTTAGCAAATGTTTTTCATTCAGAGGTTTATTGTGCAATCATGGAAATCATCTTTGTAACTATGTAATTTACCTTGTGTTGGGAGGGAGTGGGTGACATCACAGCTGATATATGTGGGGGGTCTCTCTCACTGTGGGGTCTCTCTTCCTCTCTCTGGTCTCTTTCTGGTCTCTCTCTCGGGTCTCTCTCTCTCTCTCTCTCTGGTCTCTCTCTCTCGCCCTCCGGTCTCTCGCTCTCTCTCTCTCGCCCTCCGGTCTCTCGCTCTCTCTCTATCTGGTCTATCTCTCTGGTGCTTCTCCGGTCTCTCTCTCTCTCTCTCCCTCTCCTTTTCTGTCATTATTGTCCTGTTTTTGAACTCTATTGGGTTTTGGCAAATTACATTTACATAAATCAGAAAAAAAGGTTACATTATGGGTCAGGGCCTGATCGTCAAAACTATAGATTGTCTTAAATATGACATTTGAAGTCACTGACATGCGTGATTTTTTATTTTCTTTAAATGATACCATGTAATGTTATTATCTTTTTAATCTGTGCGTGGATGATAAAGTGTACATTTATATATTATTATTCTATATAAATGTTGTTTACTCTAAGTAGAATGCTACATGTACGCTGTGATTGGTTGAGTGGATTTGTGGCGTTCTGCGGAAAAGGTGGACTGGCGTTTCTTGCTGTTTGGAAAGAATGGGAGAAAGCAGGACAGAATAAATGGTTTTGCGGAAAACTGATATTTCTAGGTTTATCAATAGTGACCAAATACACTTCTGATTTTGGCATAAACTGTTTATTTTCAAATGGCGTTATCGTGTTTTGGAACTGAAAATGTTAAATCATAAAAAAAATAAGACTGTATTTGAAAATGAACTATAACCCAACTATTCCATAATGATTTGATAAATAAGGATCTACTTATATTGTCCTACTTTGGCTGAGAATCATCAAGCACACATTTGAGTTACTGTTTTATTCTGTACGTTGCAAAACTGAAACGTCTCCACCGCGCGACGATAGACCTCACTTTGTCCGTCGCAGACCTCCTCAAGCTGTCGTTTACACTGAGAGCACACTCTGCTCGCACCGGTCATGATCAGAAACTGTCTCTAAGTCTATTTTTCACCCCGGCTACAGATCAGAGGTTGTCGTCATGGTTACGGCGGTGTATAATTCATGCACCCGAGCCTGTAGTGTTAATAATGGTGAGCTCCAGGGCCCTCACCACAGCTGCTCCTGTCTCCTTCTGTCTGAGGACCTCTCTCACTCTCACACACACACACACACACACACACACACTCACACACACACACACACACACACACACACACACACACACACACACACACACACTGTACACACACACTCTATATCAGGGGTCTCCAACCTGTACTTCGGGAGCTATACCAGCAGCTCGTCAGCCCCTATCCAGTAGCTCCCATAGAGTGTAAATATTCAGTCGTTGAAACTAATGTGCCACCACTTTCGCCTTTTGTGGGCTTTTTCAAAATGGCCGCGGGGCAGGAAAATTTGACGAGTGCCTTCTGAAGTCCACAGCGGCTAAACAAGACTGGTCCAGAAAAATATACTCCCCTCACCATTGACTGCATCTGAAATGTAGTGTTGGGCCAAGAGCCAACTTTTGGACCATCTTGTTAAAGCCGTTTTTAAGAGGAAAGAGTACGCCATACAAAAGCATTGGGTAATTCTCTTTCCAGGTACACCCCCACCATCTCAGGGTGGCATTGCAAATATATCAGCGCACATGCTCATGGACCTGGTAGCTACTCAAAGGATTTAGAATTTAACAAGTGATCCAGAATGATTACATTTTAACTTAAGACATAATATCTATTTTAAATATAAATGTCAGGTTACACAGTATAATGGTATATTTTATAGGTGTGTTCTTATACTTAACTTATTAAATAGATTTTTATGATGACTGCAAATCGGAGTAGCTCTCTGTCTCCTCTGTTGTATAAAAGTCGCTCTCGGATTGAAAAAGGTTGGAGACCTCTGCTCTACGCTAAAAAAACTCTATACTAAATTACTATACTAAATAACTCTCTAAAATAACATAACAAAACATCTCTAGCTATAGCATAATAAGGATGCAGTCTGTAATCTATTTTAAGAAGCAAGAATGATGTACAAAATCTCTGACTTTAGCATAATAAAGAAGCAGGTGTAAATCCTGTAGAGTCTAGTGCAGAAATACATACAGTAGTTGTATAGTTGTGTCTCTACATGTGTAAGGGTTTTTTGGGCCAAATACAACAGGCCCATAGAAATCAAAGACGGGAAAGCATTCTGATTGACAGCAGGGGGCCTTAACATGGAGGAGGGACCTGTTCAAAGTGATAGTGTTACCGTGTTATTCTCTCTGTCGCCTCCAGGAGAGTTCTGCTCCACAGTTTGCTCAGCTTTTAACTACAGACTACAGTTGGATCACGTTTACGGAATCATTTGTACTCCTTGTAATGCTGCTATTTCATATTTTTCACTTCAACTTTAGTAATCCTAGGTTGTATGTACTCTAGGGCTGGTTTGAGCCCAGTCTAGTGAAGAGGCAGACTAGTTTTAAGAGTTTTGATATGGTCTCAATGATGTAAAGCATTCTTAGAGAAGTACAAGTAGTGTTGGTTGATTTCTGCTTTTCTAACTTAAATAACGCGATAGACATTTATTGTCCATTGTTGCTCTCATCTTTTCCAACACCAGAACCATTGTGTATATTCGGGTGAAGGCCAAATTATAGTTGGTGCTGCATGGAATTATATAATATATAACAACTTATTCAGAGTTTTGATGTTAATAACATTCATATCGTTTTATATATATGTCCCCAGAGAACAGGCCAACAGGTCAACATTCATATTTTAAAGCAGATTGATTTGGAATGTAACTTAAGTTATCACTTTGGTAAATCATTTGTGGCTAGATTATATCCTGAATGCTAAATTATGTTGTCTGTATTGTAATCCCCTTTGACCAGGAAGACTCCAGGAAGTCTGGGGAGCTCGAATGTAAAACACCAGGAGGAAGCAGGCTTCGTATACGATAATACGGAGTGTCTTTTGTTGTGTTGCTTCTTCCTTTCCTATCTGCATATGAAGGTGTGTCTTGTCATCAAAAGGAGCTACAGACTCTCTGGGCTGCAGATCTGGTCTGAGAGAGACCGGGCTCTGTACCCGGTCTCTGTCAAGACCTTTTCCCCTTGGACCTGGTAACAAGTAAAAGATTAACTATGTCTGATTGTTGTGTGAGATTTTGTCAGGTTCAACTGTAGTTGAAACAGCATTAACACAGATTATCCAAACAGAGACCAGAATTTGGGCTACCAGTTCATTAGTTACAATTTCATTCAATAAGCTAAAAATAAGTATGTAATACATCGAGTTGGTACTGTTTCTGGATAAACCCCAGCAGGTGGATTACATCAGTTCTCAGTGTTTACATCTGTCACAGGCAGGTAAAATCTGGCAAAAAAAGTTAGATTGTTGTAATGACTTTGAGACCACTAGGAGTGCATATTACGTACTGTCTCTTTAAGAAGCATAAGGTACAAAAGCAGTGAGATCAGAGCTGGTCCAGAGAGTGTCTTTAGGACTGGGAACATTCATGGAACAGCAACAATCTCAGACTCTACCACAAAAACTGTTATGAATGTCTAAAAAGTGTTCAATGTTGATGCAAATGATTACTGTGCACTTGATATTACATTAATTCTTTCATTCATTTTCTTTATTAATCCATTTCTGAGTCAATTTTCCAAACAAAACCGTGTGAAAATAACAAGAGATATTATTCACTGTGTTTGAATATACAACATACAAGAAAAATGTCTCTTATTGGTTTTGTGCTGTCTATAATTTAGGATTAATTTCTGGACCTGACCAGTGTCGTTTCTGCTGATGGCCGCTCCTCCATCTGCCGTCTGGCTCCTCTCCAGGACTCTTCAGGACGACCCGCTGTGACCAATGTTCAGGAACTGCACACATGTCACGAAAACAGGGGCTTTGGAAATATCTGCAGACAGTAACGTTCTAACTTGCAGATTTAAAAAACTTTGATAAACTAAAATATGTTGCACACACTAGTTGTAAATGCAGAACTTGTAGCAACAATACTCCACGTGACACAATGTCTTCTATTTTTCCTTTGAACTAATTTATACATGTACAAAATGGCCTCCTGCCACCTGGGCCTGGGTCAGGAGCAGTGGTCGCTTCAGTGCGGCGCCCGGAGGCTCGTCTCCAGATGTTTGTTCGATGCATGACTTGGTCAGCACCAGAGCTGGAAGAGTTGGATTTGGAATTGGAATTGTTGGATTGACGGAAACAAATTATCTCTTTAAACATTAATTCATGAAACTGATGAAACGACACGTCATCCAAAAACTGCAGGAGTTAGATTTAGATTAAAACAATAGTTCATTTAGAAGTGGTTTATTTCTTCACTTGTTATAAACATTATAACATCTTAGGTCACAGGTTTTCAAAAATGTTTATACATTTTACTATAAGAAAAACAAAAGAAGAGAACTCTAACATGTATAAGAGAATTCTCGTGCTGAACAATGCCTAAAATCTGTTAGAAAAATTTAGTTCTGGCTTCTATCACTAGTCGGGAGTGTTGTACATTGTAGCCATTAGTTATGGTTATACATATATATTTTTTTCCTATATATTTAAAATGATGGTTTCACATCGTTAAACATGAAATACCAAGGTAATTGCCAGACAATACACTGGTGATTTTTATTTATGTTTGTGTTTCTGCTGCTGGACTCCTGCCTTTCTCCTACGGGATCAAGTATAACGTACAAATCTATCTTTTTCAAGTACTTTAAACTCTGTGGCCCATAAAGCAATACAGCCGATGTATATGTATTGTTACAGTGCTAGAGTATTCCCCTGGGCACAGCTCTATAGGCGGGAGTTTATGTGAACAGTAGAGAGCAGCACAAATTTATTGACTTATCATTATGCCCAGCAATTTTTTTTTATCTCCAGTCAAAGTCAGGTTCAAGAAAAAAAAAAAAAAAAACACAGCAAATAATCCGTGTGTTGCCATACAAACATGTGAAAACCAGATCCGGTCAGACCTCACCTCTGAAGTTAAGCAGGGCCTGTTTAGTACTGTGATGGGAGACCTCTGGGAACACCATGTGCCAGCTGTAAAGCGCCAAATTGTCGCTGTGTCCTTAGGCAAGACACTTCACCCACATTGCCTAGAATGAGTCTGGTGTGTGTGAATGGTTGGTGGTGGTCAGAGGGGCCGATGGTACATGGTTGCCTGGCCTCTGTCAGTGTGCCCCAGGGCAGCTGTGGCTACAATAGCAGTTTATCACCACCGTGTATGGAGTGAATGAATGTCATGTGAAGCGTCTTTGAACATTCAAAAAAGCGCTGTATAAAACTGCATTATTATGATTATATTTGTTCTGAATCTCAGTATAAATTGCAGACTAAAAAACCATAATAGAATAGTAGTTTACAATAGAACAATATAGTTCTAACCCTAAGTGGAAAAATATTCTATAGAAGCACTTAAAACCCTGTGATTTTTTGTCGCTCTTAAGGACCTCCTCGCAGATGAAGTAAAATAACCAGAAAAGCAGCATTGCCTCCAGAACCACGTGGATATTCACTTTCCATTTACTGAAGCTTGAAATTGAATTTGTGGTGAATGACTGCTGCCACCTAAAGGCAAAGTCTCTCCTTACACATGTGCCAAGCAGAGGGAGCGATAAGAAAAAATGGTCCAATCTTCACCTTGTTAATATGTCAATCCTAATGGGACCCCAATACAAGCAACACAACAGATTAGAAGCATGGTGACAAAACACACACACAGCTTTACGTTTATTTTGTGGGTACATGCAACCTGGAAGTACCTGCTGGGGGAAGAGAGAGAGCCCACCGTTGGACCATGAAATTGAAATTATTGATGGGAACACCGTGATGCATAAAGGTCAGGGAGCTGCAACACAAACACGGTTAACATGTATCCACTTAGCAGCGACAACAATCTATAAGCAGTACTTTCATTTAAGAGAGGAGTTCAAACGCTGAGAACAAATCTGACCTCAACATGCGGCTTCTGTCTCACTAGAAAACAGTTAAACTCGTAGGTACTTGTGAGGAAAAGCCCTGGGAGTGATTAATGGATGAGCTGACTCCTTTCTTTTCCACTTTTCTGTCTGGAAAAGCTGATGTGAAACAGGCCAAAAAAAAATGCATGCATGTGAAAACTAGTGATGGAACCAGTCACTAGTGTGTTTAAAAGTGTTTTATAAGCGAGGTATTACCCTACTACTAACATTCTTTGTGCACTCTAAAAAGTAATGTGACCCAACAAGAAAAATTGAGGCAACCCTTTCCATTGATCTTTTTACGTTGGATCAACTCAAGTGAAATTGTCTTCAACTGATTGCTTTATTAAAGTTTAGGAAACTTAATTTTCTCAACAGTAAAACATACTAAAATGTTGATCAATCCACATATTTATTTTGAGTTGATTACTCACTTATTTGAGTTTCTTTGTTGTATATGCATTATTTTGAGTTGGCTAAATGTAACAATAAAAAAAAAAAGATTATCTTCACCTTTATGAATTCATTTCTAGGTGCATCAGGTCTAAAAATGTTGTTCAAAGTTTTTCAAATCATATGTTTGTTTGTGATAATCGTTTTTTTTTTTAGGTATAGCTTTGCCTAAGTTGTTTACTTGCATATAAGTGAAAAAACCTGCAATAATAATATTAATTAACACTTACTGTGAGTAGAGAATGACAATAAAAACTTTGGCAACTATAGTTTGCCAAAGTTGTCGGTGGAGCCAAAGGGGTTAACAGGGCATTAAAGTGACAGTAGTAAAAGTTTACCTTGTGGCCAAAATAGTGCCGTTATCTCAGAATAGAAAGATAAATGAAGTCGGGACAGTGTTGGCAGCTTGATATTTTATTCAGCGTTAAAAAAAACTCCTGACAAACAAACTTGTGACGGACTACCGGCTCAAGCAGCGTTCCATGGCCCCCAGCTCCTGTAATTCATGGCACTCAGGTCCACAGTGAAGCCTCAGCAGCCGCCTGACCTTGGGGATGACGGAGAGAGCCGCGCTCCTGGCACCGCTGCGGGGGAAATAATGAAAAATCAAAATGACAAGTCGAGGAAGAGCGTGGTTTGTTTTTTAAGAAATGGAGGATGCGAGGCTGAAGAGGTACCACAGACTGTAAAGGTATGTCTGGAGCTGCTGGATCTGGCGCCCATGTCTTACCCGTTGAAGTGGAGCTGGGTGAGTTTGAAGAGCTGCCGGGCGAGTTCGATGCTGTCTGCTCCAAACTGGGAACTGATCGCCGTCGCACTCCGCTCCAGGTGGACGGAGGCGTTTCCCCAGTCGCCTGCGGAGAATTGTTGCAATAAAAGAGAAAGAAATTGACCTAATAAGCAGAGTGCAAAGGCCTTTTTGGCATCACAACGATAGAACAATGCAACAAAATGCAGTTCAGCATCTGACCAGTGGTGCAGTAGCGCAAGTATAGGATAATATTTACAACACAGACTGACTTTCAAACATCAAATGTATATCCATCCGTCCATCCATCCATTTTCTTCCCCTTAATCCATTTCTGGGTTGGGGGTCGGTGGCAGTCAGAGCTGCACCCAGTTCACAGAGCACCAGACCCTCACTGATCCTCCTGCAGGTGGCGAGTCCACAGAAGCTGAGATCTTCCAGCGGGGGCTTTAGGCAAAGTGGGGTTAAGTGTCTTGCCCAAGGACACAACGACAGCAGTCATCAGTGGGAGTCGTGAAGTAGGTCTTATGGTAGGCTCGAACCCATGACCTTAAGGCTCAAAGGCCAATGCTCTAGCCACTTTCGCCATCTATATCCAGCTAAATCACACTGTAGGTCTTTGCACACACTGTAGCTGGTATTTTGACCCATTCTTCCATGTAAATCGTCCCTCGAGCTGGTTCTAGTTCTTCCACAGATTGACTATAGCTTTGAGGTCTGGAGACTGGCTAATAGGCCTCTTCAACATATTTATAGAGTCTGGATCATTGTCACACTGGGAGATCCAGCCACGTTCAACAATGTCACTGACAGAAGACGGTTTTTTGCACAAAATCTCATTTGACACATGGCCCCATTCATCCTTTCCTTAATACGGATCAGTTATCCTGTCCTGTTTATAGAAAAGCAGCCTCAGGCCATGATGTTTCCACCCCCATTACAAATATCGCAAATATCTCCTTATTGGGGAATATTAAAGGGGAGAATAAATACATTAATAAATAGATGAGGAGAGGCTTGGTCGCAGACATCTGTTTGGACAGAAGATAAACCTCATTCTGCAGCAGCCTTGAATAAACCGTGGTTATGAGGATGAGCGATAAACAAGCCTTTTCCCTGAAGGCTGGATTCCTCTGCTGAGTAGACACGTTCACTGGCCTAAAAACATAGTCCGTGGTGACGCAGCCAAAACACATGCTCATTTATTAGGCTTCACCACACCGTCCACTTCCGCTCGCTCCACTTTTCAACTTTAGTTTTTCAGCACACTAGAAGACTGTATGTCTATTTATTAAACTCACATCACATATTCTACACTGTAATTTGGTTTGAACTTGTCGTGTTTAAAGAACAGATATGATTAGTTCAGGTCTTTAAATATGTTATTATTTAGGATTAACATGAACCATAACAAATGAATGGATATTGTATGTATTCAGTGTCAGTGCCAAATGAGGACTCTGAGGAGCACAGGGACTGACCTTATGAGATCATTTTGATTTGACTTACATAAAATAAGATAAGATAATCCTTTATTTGTCTCACAGTGGAGAATTTTCAGTGTCATCGTTGCGCACATTACAGCAGAGAAAGAAGGAAATAAGAGCACTCAGATTGCACACGTCAAATAGTCTATTATTTAAGATATTAGACATCCATCTATCCATCTTCTTCCCCTTAATCCATTTCTGGGTCAGGGGGGGTGGCAGTCAGAGCTACACCCAGTACACATAGCACCAATACACAATATAATTAAAATAAGATAAAGAATAAAACAAAATAAACTCTGGAGCTATAATTGCCCTTGGTTTAGAAGTATTTACATAGAGACTTTTGTTCCTTCGTTTTGACGCTGGCTTTTGTACAATACATTTTCTGCTTTACCCTTTTCTGCCCTAAAATAAAAAGGCCATTTACACCGGATACATTTCTTTCTCCTTCTCAGAGCCATGTTTAGGGTTGTAACAATGTAAAAATGTCCTTTATTTTGAATTCTAACCATCTATGTAGAGAGTGCTGGTTTTATAGACTTGTCGTTCGTTACCCATCGTGGCGAGCGCTCTGGCTGTGGCGTCTTCTAGTTCTCCTTTCAGTGGATGAGTCTCGGAGAGGATCGACGCACACTGGGTCCGGGTTTGTTCCAACAGTCTTAGCGCTTCATCTGCGAGTGTGGAAATAAAACCATGCATTTATATATTATAAAACGACATTTCTACTTCCTCTTCACACCTGGTTTGTCCCTCTCCATGAGCCGCACGGCCGTCTCCAGGTTCACGCCGACTTCTTTCAGTTTCTGGTCGACGTCGGAGTTTGACACAAAATGGCGGCACTTTGAGCAGACGTAACCTGGTTCTTTGGCGTCACTTCTTTTCTGTACAGCAACAACAAAAAATAGTTTAGAGCAATTTGTTCCGAGCAACTTTCATTTTGTCGTGTCAAGACTGTCCGTGACGTATTTTGGCGGAAAAAGTGATCAAAAGAACAGAACTACAGATCTATCTACTTATGTATAGATTGTTTACTTTTGGACATTTCCTTCTTGCACAGACGACTGATGTAAGACAACCCCGACATTTCCCCACGGTTCTATTATTATTTTTCTCACATAAATGTCCCTCAACTAAAATCATAAACTAAAGAATATACATAAATGAAAGACACTGAAGTGGCACCTCGTTACAAATTTGTTGAATACTGAAAAACAATCATTTCAGTTATAAACAAGGACTAAAACTTAATATTGTGTCAATATCAAGAAGTCAGTTATAGCCAACTCGAACAGGTTATTTGAGCCGAATTGAGAGCCAAATATGTGAAAATGTTGGCTCTCAAAAAATGACCATGAAATAAAAATGTGTGTTTATTTCATTATCTTTTCTCATCCTTAATGCTCAGTAAATTGTTGTGTATGTATGTTTACTTGTGTATATGTTTACATGTTTGTAATTATGTTTAGATAGATAGATAGATAGATACTTTGTTGATCCCCGTAGGAGAAATTCAGGTTTAGGACCCCCTCGAAAATGAAATGATTAATCTCAAGGGGTATTCCTTAAATAAACTTAAACATGTTTGTAAATGTATGAACGCAACTCTCAAAACTAGCACTTTTCTCCCACTGTTTTTTAGTTTTTCCTTGCCGGTGCAGAAGGGTTTAAGGCAGAGGTGTCCAAACCGGTCCAGAAAGGGCTGCAGGTTTTCTATCAGACCCAGCAGGAGCAGCGCAAACTCCACCCATTTCCTCAAGTGAGCTCAGTCTTAACCTGAAGATTTGAGGAAATGGGAGGAGTCTGCTCTGCTCCTGTTGGGTCTGATAGAAAACCTGCAGCCACAGCGGCCCTTTCTGAACCGGTTTGGACACCTCTGGTCTAAGGACAGTAGTGCTGATCCAGGACACTCGACATTCAACAATTTTGATACACATTTATGGACATTGGTCTCTGCCCCTTATGAACCAATGGCTCTATGTGTTTTTTTATCATTGCATTTCTTGTGTTTGAACTGTTTGAATAACTGATCTGTGTTGGCGAATTTGACGGTTTTGTAAAGTCCTTCAAGCTAACTACTGTTGTGATTTAGGACTAAACAAGAATGAATTGAATTGCTTAAAACTGATCAAAAACAGTCCGTGCACATACTGTGAGCGGCGCCTTGCACTGGGCGCACTGCAGTCTGGTCTGGTATCGAGCGGCGTTTCCTTCGGCCTCCTCCTCCTCGCTCCGCTGCAGAGCACAGGCCTCACACTGACACTGGAAATTGTATTGTTCGAACAAGAGCCGCGTGCGCTCCTCAGTTTTCATCCGACCGCTGTGAGGACCTGAGCATCAAAGAAACCCACACATCAAAATATAACTCATCGGAAAAACAACCAGCGCTGCAGTAAAGTTGAGACGGGGCTGGAACGTGGACCGGACTGGGGTCACATAAACTACTGATGCTGGAGTCAGAATATTAACCAGATACTTTGACAAATCCATCTGTAATAATAATAACAATAATAATGCATTGTTTTTATAGCACTTTTTTGGACATTGGAGCGCTATATACAGTATGTATAATGGATTCTAATTTTATTATTTGCATTGTGGTCTTTTTGTCATTTCATCCCATATTTTAATTAATTATTTTAAATATGATGCATGTTATGGTAATATTTCATGTTATGTTTTAGATAAGAACGAAGAAAGAATATCTTAAGTAGAAAATGTGGTGAAACTAGTATGAAGGGCAAAAGAAAGTGTTTTTTGTCTCTGGTGTTTTTTTGTTTTTATTCAAACATTTACAGCCATGTGACTTGAAATGAAGGATGCCACCTGACAAGTTGCCAAAACTAATAGTTTTTAGACAGGACCCAGGAATATTCTTGCTGCAAAATACAAGTGCTAACCACTGTAGCACATGTTCGTGACAGTTCCTGGAGTGTGGATATTAAGACAACTCCAGGTCTGTTTTGATGAAGAACACTGTTGTAACAGGATTAAAAGCTCAAAAATAGAAGTTTGTATGATAAGTTTATTTTAATATTTTCATAATGAGAATATACACTAATCTAATATGTGGATAAGAATCTTAATTTTCTTCACATTGTTATTGTAGCAGAAATGCCCAAATAAATAATTATCACCTTTATCACCCGTCTATGTTTTCAATCATTGCTGCAAGATAAATTAGTAATTAAGTTTATATAAGACTGAAGGCATATGGTGCATAAACTCTACACAACAGACAAGCATCTCACTGATCATTATCAAAAGTATCCGAGTACAAGTATATTCAAAATGCCTACTCTGGTTTGATAAGCACATCATTCTCTACCATAGCAGTGGAAGATCTCTTGTCCTGGAGAGATGTCTTTGGCCGCTCTGATGGTTGCGGTCACTCCACGGTTTGCACGATCGGTGAAGTCTGCGGTTGGGTCCGGGCCAGGACTGGCTGAGGCTCCGGTGGTGAACGCCAGGCTGGTGTTTGGACAGCACGAGTGGTTCAGGAGGCTCAGAGTCGGGAACACGGCTGTAGCGATGCGAATCTCTCGACTGGACTGAACCGGGGCGCCAGCTGGTCCTGTTGAGACACAGGGGACGCATGGGAGCATTCGGAAATTAAAACAAACCACAACGTACAATGGAAAAGAGACATCAGATTTGATAATGGCTTCTGGACTGGAGTCAACAAGAAGTACAATGGTTGCTAATTAGTGTCCATAAAAGCACTATATAAAACCGATGCATTATTATCATTTCATTTCAATATTATCATTATCAAAATTCTGGGATAATGTATGGTTTCCCCAACACAGAGTACATTTCTGTCTTTTTGCACACCTTGAGTGATCCTATTTATGCCAAATAAGTAGTGACATGTGATTTTGTATTCATTGTGAGTTAAATACAGTTGTATCTTTCCTTATCTTATCTTATGTGTGCTTTGACTGAAGGATTTGCTAATAGACATGTAGCTTGTTTAGTCAATACACATAGCTTTTGGGAAATCCTCATGGGCACTCAGAGAATAGAGTTAAGTTTAGGGGTTGAGTTAAGTTTTGAAATCTGTATATCTAGATTCATTGTCAGCATTACTATATGTTCTCCAATGCAGTGTTATTTTTTCATCTCAAGCTGGGTTACCTAACTTTCAAACCACAAAAAATGAATCCAAGTAATAACACCGATCTAACTAGTCCCTCGCTCTCATGACAGAACTAGTTTTCACATTCATGAACGTTTTTTGGGACTGGTGATCTGCTAATTGGGTGTTTAGCTCTGACTACCCAGAAATTGATTGAGGGGAAGAAGATGGAGGGATATATTTTTTGGGCTTCTGTCACTTTTTGTCACTCTCTTCAGGGCAGATTTTTCTTGGACAGAAAAGAGATAAAGAGAGGACGATTATTGCTCAGCCCAGAGTGGTCCCAAATAGTGAGGGGCTCTTAAAAATATGCCTAACAATATGCTTTCTTATATGTTGAATGCAGCTTGTTGTGATGTGATTTGTTCAAAATATTGTACCTATTACTTTTTTAATTCAGTTGGAAAAAACCCAAAAGGTAAAATGGAAAAAAGTGATGTACTGTATCCCAAATTTCATTTTCCTAGCTTGTAATAATCGGTACGACAGCCGAACTGAACCCAAACCTGTGTCCTGCAGCAGTGTGATAGCCTGAGCGTTACACCTCAACTGCAGAAGGTGCCTGAGGGCCGCACTTCCCATCAGCCACTGCTCCGAGTCCTCCCCTTCTCCTTGCTGCCGCTCCTCTGATCTCTCCCCCGATTGGCCCGTCTCACCCGGGGGTCTCGGGAGGAGGCCCCGCGAACCTGTTCCCGTCGCGGCGCCCAGCTTTAGGCAGAACGTTGCCACGGTAACGGCTGCCAGAAAGCGGAGCCCGACGCTGTGCTGACTGGAGTGATGCATTAAGTGGTAGACGCTGAGGTATGAGTCATCGGCGTGTGAGGGGCCTGCCACGTTTGCGCGACGGTAATTGCTGGCCCCGGCACATTCCCCGCCGCTGCAGGGTTCCTGTTGTCGTGCCATTTGGATGTTTTTAATCCCAGCTTTTAGCGTCACCCTCACGGCGAGCTGCGTCAGCACACCCATCGGAACCAGATCTCCCGAGAGGTGACACTCCCGGCTGTGGTGCTCAGACCAGGCCTCCTTCTGGCAAGCCTCTGAACAATATCGACTGTAGCTACAACATTCACATGGTATTAAGTGTAATGTTTTGGCCAAGCAGCGGTGACAGAATCCATGCTCTCTCCCAAATGTCTGCTCCTCATCCGCCCCTGGGATAAGCACCAAGCTGTATGGCCTGTCAAAGAGCACAACATCCCCGGCTGCGATTCCCTCCCTTGCCACCAGGTGCCGCCCTGTCTCCACGGTGAACCCCACAGCAGCTTGAGGACAAATCCCTAAACTGAAACGTTCCCCGGCTTGTCTCCCGTCCCCGGCTGGCGCATTATGATTCGGTGAGGGATGATCGGCTTTTGCCTCCTGATCCGTGGCGGTGCGGCGCACACACAGAGCGCGGCGGTCCTGGAGTTTGTGTGAGAGATGAGAGGGGTAGCCGCTCTTCAAGGCCACGTCAATGTCACGCAGACTTTCCTGAAACAAAGAGGGGAAGGGGAATGAGATGATGGAGGAGGCACGCTGAGATGTGACAGACGCAGAGACGTACGAGTCAAAGACACACTCGCTGATGCAAAGAAAGCCGGCAATTATAGCTTGAGTGAATATACAATTAAAAGCAGAACGTCAGCGGGAGCCATTCACATTTGGTTTGTCAGACAAAAGACTACATCATAATTACACCGTGTAAAGTCGATGACAATAAATCTGGCTGACAAAAGGCATGATATGTCAAGCAATAACCAAAAAACTTCAAACTAATTAGACCTGAAATCAGACTTATTTTTGTTCCGAGTCAATGTGGGCTGAACAATTACCAATGAAAGCACACGAGTGAGACATAAAGCTTTCTTGTAGAGTCAAAAAGGAAGTAATTGGCTCACAGGCGATGCTGGTAATAAGGCTGGAAAACAAGAACAAGATGAGGCCAGCCAACCAAGTGGTGATAAACAGTTGTGCAGTCGCTAAGGACCATTGATATCCTTCATTGTCAGGGATAATGCCTTGACAAGCATTTTGTTGAGCTGTGAAACAGATGAAACCAATTTGTCATCATCGTCTCTCTCTCCAACGCCCTCAAAGCTCTTAGTAAAAAAAAAATATTATGAAAATCAACTTTTTTGGGGATTTCAAGGATGTTAGACACGTTGTTGGCTCATCAATAACAAAACTAGATCCAGTCACGCTAATATCAGTTCATCCCTGGATTCATATTCTGTCGCTGTATAATCTCATGCCTCTGGCTCCCATCGATACTGAGCACGGTAAAATGTCAATTGTGTGTATTTAGAGATAAGACTTTCTTTAATGCATGCGTTTTATATATTTTTGTTTTGTTTTATTTGTTTGCATGAGACACCAAAGCAGATTCCTGGTTTGCGACTTCCTCTGTCTCAGTCCTGTAGAAGTACGATGTCAATGTCAAACGAGTGTTGTGAATTTCCCAAGTAAAATGACCTTCTTTGAAATCACATATCTACTGTATGTTTGCAGCTGGTAATTTTCAAATTTGAAAAAAAAGAAGAAAGAAATAAAACAATTCTACTGGAAGACCAATATATTTGTTTATAATTCAATCCTTGTTTCATCCTATATTTTCTTCTTGAGATATTATTTCACAGCCTAAAACATAGAGTTAATTGTCTCATTATGATACTAATGGCAAAGATAATGGATATTTCTTCTTTAAAGGAAAAACCATCTCATGACTTCTATCAAACCGGTGGTAACACATTCCTGGTCCAGTGGAGTTTAAAGTTTAACAGCAAAAGCCCTTGAACTTATTTTAATGCATTCATGAATATTTTAAGCACACACGTTAAATAATATATTTCAAAAACAAGCTAATGTGGCCTAAATGTGCACAAGCTCTGAGACTAAAGTGTTTGAATTAGTCTGTTTACCATTTTCTTACAGGCTTTGTAAAAAAGCAACATTAGTCTCACTCCTGAAGTGAGAAACACCGCACTGTTCTGCGCTCTGCTGTGCATTTAGTCTTTAGAGCGGGAAAATACATCAAATGGGACTGAGTTAAGGACTGAAATGTGTGTCAAACTCTTTAAACTTGTGGTGTGTGAGGACTACGTTCATTCATGAAGTCTAACTAGTCCAGTTAACTTGTTAGTATACAATTCAGTTATTTTTTGTATAGCCCTGAATCACAAAAGCAGTCACCTCAGAGGACTTTACTAAAGATGTAGATTCCTCAACTACAGATCAGAAAATCAAACAGTTTGAATAAAGGAAAAGCAATAATAACCAATACATAGGAGTCCATAGGGCGCAGGATGACCAATGCCCATTCATGTGATTATTATGATTTTAATGCCTTGTCTAACTGTCTCCATCTTGTTTTGTTCAGCACTTTGAGTTGGCTTGCGCATGAATTGTGCTATACAAATAAACTTGCCTTGCCTACATGTCAAAGGATGTCCTTAACCCAGACACTCGGATAACAATCAAATGACACACTTCCTGATACAAATGTGAAACTCTGCAGCCTTTGAAAACAAAGCAGATGGAATGTAAAAAATACCAGCTTCTGTGTGCAGTTTTCATGTTCTCTCCGTGTCTGTGTAGGTTTCCTCTGGGTGCTCCGGTTTCCCCAGGGTGCTAAGGTTTTCCCAATCATTAAAAACAAAAAAAAAAGGTGCTATATGAATAAAGATTACTTACTTACTTACTTACTAGCTTCTTTACACTTTTTGTATTATTAAACGGACCTTCTAAGCCTTAAATTTAACACATAATTCATCACATTAATCATCAAATGTCACTACATAGATTTGTCCAGCAAATCATTCTTTTACAATTATTTATTACAATATTGTCCATTATTCAAACTTGAAAAGGAGTGGGAGAAAGAAACATCTTATAAAGGTGATATTAGATCATTTCTAAAGGCACACCAAATAGCATCTGAAGACACAGCAGCGTCCCACGGCCCACAGGTTGAAAAACACTGACACAGATGACTCACCGCTCAAGGAACGTATATTTTGCATTCGTATTTAACAGCTTAAAAGGCGTGAACCCACCTGGTAGAGCTGCAGATGGCACAGGGCGGCGGAGCGGTTGGCGAAGCACAGAGACAGCTGCTGCGAACTTGGGGGAGCGAGGCATATGCCCTGTCATGAGAGGAGACACAGGGATCCATGTTTACGCACGTTAATGAGGTCTGGGAGGAGTATCGCTTTAGGTGCAGATAAATCCCCAGATGCATTTTAAACCAGAGCCTGTGTGACCTTTGACGACGCGCTCATGATGGTGTGATAAAGACAGTTTATTCTCCTGTGGCTCTGCGTGTTCTCAGGGATCTCTTCACTGTGACCGTAAATTTCACTGTGGCTTTTCACTGGTTTTGTTTCAATTCTATTCAATTTATTTTTTGTATCGCTCTAAATCACAAAAGTAGTTATCTCTGAGGACTTTACACAACTGTTGAATACGCCAACACAGATCAGAAAATCAATCATACAGTTCAAAAACAAGAAATGATAACAGAAAACACATTGGTATTGGTCCATAAGGGGCAGATGAAGTGTTGATAAATGTCCATAAATGTACGTATACTGTTTTTGCTTTTGACATTGTATTTTTTGTAAGGCGACCTTGAGTGCCCATAAAGGCGCCATATAAATAAAATGTATTATAGTTATTATAGGATCTCACTTACTGATAATAAAAAGTATTACATCATATATTAATTCATTCGAAAAGTAGTAAAATGAGTTATTCCTTAAATGAATAAAATCACATATTTTTAGTATGATTTTGATCTACATCGTTGTGGTACCATAAAAAGTACTACAAAAACGTGTAATTACACTATATTACAGCTTATTATTATCACTATTTATTTCAGACTCAAATTAAATTGGTTCATATACAAAAATACAAAAATAAAAGACAAAAAAAGACTACATTTCATAATTACATTAATATAGGACATAGCTACTAACCTGTGAATAGTGCAGGGCAGCTGAAGTGTAGTCTCTGGTTTTAAAACTCGCATTGCCCCTCTCTCTACTTAAGGAGGCTTGGTCTTCACTCTTAACGTATTTTTCTTTTGATATACTGTGAAGAACGTCCAAATCATCTTGTCTGGAAAACAAAATGTGAATGTGATGATCTCAAACTCAAAGATGGGCGGCAGGAACCAGTTATCTCTATTGATTCTATTTCTATTAGCTACTTCAACTCAATTTATTGTTTTTTTTTTTTACATCTCTTAATTCATATATTAGTGCCAACTGAAACAACTCTGAGGAGCAAAGGTCTGGCCTCCTGCTGGTGCCCAGAATCAGAACTAAACATGGGGAGGCAGCATTTCATATTTATGCACCTAAAATCTGGAACAATCTTCCTGATAATGTTGAAAAACAGTTTAGCTGTGCATACAACTGAAGGATTATATATTCACACACTCTTAAAAGGTATATAGGAGGATTATTTACTTCCGGGTGGATCATCAAGACCATTGATCCTCCCAATTGTCAAACATTCTGGTAATATGTGCTCGTCAAATATGACCTGAGAGTGGAGAGGCCGTTTCTTTCCTAAAATTTGTGAAAATCTTCCAATATACCTTCAATGTACTGTGAATATTTATGATTATAATGCCTTGTATGATTGTTTCCATCTTGTTTTGTTAAGCAACTTGTGAATAAACTGTGCTATACAAATACACTTGCCTTGATCATATTAGCCATTGCTATTGTAAAGCATTGCTAGTCCCCTGCTTATCGAATGCATCTGATCTGAGTACTTCCCATTCTTTTGAGTGACACCTGACAGGATCTCATATACACTTGCATTTTACACATAGACTGTTAGATTTTATACCAGTAAGCAAAACAAATACACACTTTTACTTTAAATACACAACTGGATGGTATATTTATTTCTAATAATTGTTGGAATACTCACGTTATGAGAGTTTGGGCACATTTATAAACATCATCTACTTCATGGAGTGATGTGAAACTCTCTTTCTGGTCTGAGTCGAGGGCAGTCCATTTCTGCGCCACGTATTCCTGCCACTGAAGACACGGCAGATCCATTGAAGTCCTCAAAACTACTGTAACTCACAATATAAAGAGATTTGTTATGGATGTTTTCAAACCACGAGTGACAATTCCATGCGAGCTATCAAGTTAGCAACCAATACGTATGCACTTCTGATTTTGCTTCAATATAAAAGCATCACACAGTTCAGTTTGTGGTACTTTTAATAATTACTTTTTTATTACTAATTTAATATTACATTTGATTCAAAATGTGTATGTATTAACAATACATATTTGAATTAAAATACGTATTAGCACAAATATGGCGGAAAACAACTGTTTCTGGGGACAGTAAATCTTTATTTTGAAAATACTCCTGCTACATCCTGTATCTTCACGCCTTGATTACGGAAGTCAAAGGCTACATCTGAACTCATACATTAATAACTCCTTTTTTCCTATTTTTATAGAATTTGACAATATAATTTAAATATAGTGGACAAAAAACATTTTAAAAAGTTTTGTATTCAATTTAACCACATTTGTAGTTACACAGAACAAAAAAACAATTTTAAAGCACATTAAAAGAATATAAGGAACAAGAAAGGCTGATTTTGGACGCTACCTACATTCTTCTCGCGATACTTCAGTCCCTTTAACTTGTACGAGCAAGGCTACAAACAACAGCACGTTTTATTTTCTTCTGAATATTTTGTCGCAGAAAAATGACCGTGAGACTCACAGAAGGGGCGATAGAAGTGAGGATAACACGGTTAATTTAAATATCTGCCTATTGTACAATAAATCCTGAGCTAAATGCGAAAAAGCTAAGTTTGCTGCTGAAACTGCTAGCATTGTTGGCAAAGATTCATTGACAGAACATAAACAATGCGACGTGTCAACTTACGTTGAATAGTTTTATTTGTGTAGCTAATAGTGATTGACACAATAAGCTAAAGGGAATTTTACAGTAGTACATGTGACTTTTTGAGAATTTCTATATTTAGAGTTGCATGAACAGCCTGTCATAGAGTTATTTGATATGTATTAACAGTAATGTGTTTTATTCAGGCCCTGTCCAAAGGCACGTCCACTTTTAATGCAGTACTTCAGCTGCTGGTGAGAGACTTTGCCACAATCTCCATTTTTTTACGTCTATGTGCTTCTTTAACACCCCAACACACTCCCAGAGCTGTACATTTAACGGATTTTAGTTTTGGAAGTGTTATTACACATTACTTAGCTCACGTACATTTTTGTTCTTCCTAACTTTGTCACTTTTCTATGTAATTGTTTTCATCAAATTATCTTTTATTTGTTTTTGGGAGCTTACTATGCTTAGTAATATATTAAATGGCAGTCAAAGCCCCTTTTTAAGATGCAGGTTGTGGACTGGTTCTGAGCCTAGCCAGTTTCCACCAGAGAAGTGACAATAGTTACCTGGGCAACACTTTTTTTTTTTTCATTTTCAAAAGTTAGCATTTTGTTGCCTTCGAAAAACTGCTTTTGCTGAATTTTATGATATATTCACCAGTTTAAGCACTCATTAAAAACCTTGGTGAATTACTTAAACTAAACACCATTGGTCTATATTGTATATTTATTCATTTCTAATGAATCTGCTAAAACAAATAATAAATGAGTTCCTTTTTGACTGTTATTTTATAGATCAAGACAGTTCTTTCCCATTGTTCGCACTAAATATATATGTTTTGTATTGTAGAACACTAAAAAGATTGGGAATGATGTACCCAGGATCCGGCTCATAATGAGCGATGGAGTGCACAGTTCAGCATGTAAGTTAATATTGTTACGGACCTTTACATGATCAGAATGTCCAGCTGAGATTTCACAGCCTCTCACAGCTTCATAATGAGGCTTTGGTTGAAGTTTTCCAAATCTCTATGTGATCGGTCTTTGTTTTCAAAGCGTTCCTACTTGCCACACAACTAAACCATCTTTATGAGGAGGATCAACTCGAGCCCTACTGTGTGTGTGTGTTGAAAAAAGTTGTCGTCAACACCTTGAAAGATGGAAGGTATGTTATTCTCTTTTTGTTTCACATGAATACTTTTATCACACATTGAACTTACAAAATCTTTTCCCATTTTAAAGACCCGTCATTAGTATAATCGACCTGGAGGTCATCAAGTCAGCAGATGACGTTGGAGGGAAGATTGGGAGTCCAGAGTCGTATAATTCAAACTGTACTGTTCTTTAAAAATGCCAATATTGTCTTTTTTCATGTCTTCTGTTTGAGTAATATATATTTCTGCATCACACAGCTCTAACCTCATCACAAGAGTTAGCTGCTTCTAGTCCCTCTCCCTCGACATCTGTGCGGGAACAAGGAGCTTCCTTCTCAAAAAGCAGTGAGTGAATTCCCATCATCTTAGAGAATATAATTTGTATTTATTTATATATTTGACAAATATAAATATAATGCAAAGTAAATGTATTGTACAGACCGGATATTGCCGCTAGATGATTTTCATTCATAGTTTGCGGACAGAGGCAACGTGACTACAGGTTTACAGCGTTAGTAACGAGTTCATAAATAGAAAGTCCTTGTTAGCGTTTTTAAATATTTGTTAAATGTAACACCTACAACCCACTTCTGAATGGGTGTTACATTACAAAGATTCTTAACTCATTGACTGCCAGCCGTTTTTGATGATTTTACTGATGTTCAAGACCCACAGAATATTGAGTGCTATGACTATGTGAAATATAAAACCAGATTCTGAAAGAGTGGACTGTCTACTTTGATCAGCAGAAATAAGTGTGTTTCTTGCTTCTTTTGTTCTCCTGTAATACCCAGTTGAATAGAGAGAAGTTTGACAGAAATGATCAGTCTCAGACAAAAAGCTGAGAATGTGTGTTAAATTATGAAGCTTTTTGACCTTCAATTTCCCTTATCGCTAATATATATGTATTCTGTCTTTGTCTGTTATACATTTCTCTTTCTTAAACGTACAACTATTCTTTATTAAAATTACGAGCCCTCTTTTGGCTGTGGTCACCGATTAGGCAAAAACCTGTCCTGCTGCTAGATTTTTAGTTTCCTATGTTCTGTATCAGATAGATGGGATCCTGAAAAAAAAACAATCTCTCCCTTTCCCTTTTTGTCTTTTGGAGAATACGTTTTCTTTTAATCAGAATATTCAGTCCATTTGTGTTTAATGTCCCTATTCTTATTCATTCATATCAAAGTGGTGTTGGTATAAATAAGAGTTATGAACCTAATATTGCTTGAGAAAAAAGGGAAAACAATAAATAATACTAAAAAACAAAGGAAGGTTGCTCGCCCATCATTTGTGCTTCAGTTGGCAGGTTTTCCCAATAAATAATACTGGATAAATAGTGTAAAATTAAAATGTCTTCCACAGTATAAAGCTTCTTAATAATATATTCACTGATTTGTAGTTGAGACGTCGCCACAGAAATCCTCAGGTGCCTCTTCATCAGAACATAAAACATTCAACTTCAAGAGCAATAGTAAGTATACAGTGTTTTGGAAACTTGGAATTGAACCTATACAAACTAACATTACTAAACTGCATTATGCAACTGTGCAGAATGACATTTTACTTTTCTTTTGTCAGATAAAACTCCTTCACCAAAGAAGACGTCCCCAAACAGTTCCACAGCGAGACCCGGACCGTACAACAAGAACTGTAAGGATCAACTCTATATATTCATAATACTGTAGGAGTACTGTTTGCCCTTTAAAGCGGGGGTACTTAACTTTCAAACCACAGACAATGGGCAGCATGGTGGTACAGTTGTTAGCACTGGTTGTTAGCACTGGTTGTTAGCACTGGTTGTTAGCACTGGTTGTTAGCACTGGTGTTAGCACTGGTTGTTAGCACTGGTTGTTAGCACTGGTTGTTAGCACTGGTTGTTAGCACTGGTTGTTAGCACTGGTTGTTAGCACTGGTTGTTAGCACTGGTTGTTAGCACTGGTGTTAGCACTGGTTGTTAGCACTGGTTGTCTTGTGCCTGCGGAGGCTTGCTTCCGGTTTGCCACTAAAAAGAGTGGACCCGGGCAAGACTAGTGACCACTTGTGGAAGCTAATTTTGATCTAAATAAATAAGTAAAAACAGTAATAGTAATAGTAATAATTTGCCCTCTGTATGGTGTGAGTGAGAGGAAAAATGTGCGCAATGGTAAAGCGTTTTGTGACTCTGTCTGGGTGCTGTATAAATAAATATTACTTACTTACTCACAATGAAACTATGTAATACAATTCATTTAGCTTTACGTTTATTATCACTATAGCTACATGTCTTTTTTGGTCTATGTCACATCTTTAGATCAGCTTTAAAGTGTAAGAAATAGGACCACCTTCAGCCAATCAGCTCTGAGCCAAATGGAACAAATAGGCAAGGCAAGGCAAGATTATTTGTATAGCACAATTCATACACAGGGCAACTCAAAGTGCTGAACAAAACAAGATAAGAAATTGGAGAAACGGACGCTCACAATACTGACTGCGAAAAATGGGTTCACAGATACAAAGCAGACAGCATACAGTGATCTTATTTAAATGTTTTAATTCGTACACGGCTCTGTGGGTAAAAAAAACAAAAATGTGTTTATGAAGAAAAAAGTTAGGTACCCCAGCTTTAATCACTTACTTTTAAAATTCATGTGAGGACGCTGTGCGCATTTTCTTATCACGAGAGTTTCAGTGTGTTATAAAATGAGCTCAATTATTTTCTGATCCGGTTGGGTTGCTTCCTCCCGCCAACAGAGGGCGCCATGGGTCCTTGTGGGAAACCTGTGTCATTTCACCGTGCCACTATTTGTCATGCTGGTTTCTTTTTATTCTAATGTTGCTGAATATAACATCATTGTTCTCTTTCAAATCAAATGACCTGGACCTGAATTATCCTCCTACTGATACTGAGCTGGGCAGAGCTTATTCAAAGGAAAAATAACAGGATAGATACAAGCACTGTTTTTTGTTTTTTTTTTACATGAAAGAATCCATGGGAAATTGTAAATGAGTGGACTGCACTTGTTCCTCCTGCCTTTTATCATTCCACATTGTGCTTTTGAATCATATTGACAGTGAAGGAGCTGAGCCAGTGCCTACCAACCGCCACCACTGCCACAAAACCCCATGATGCTATTATGTACACAGATGTATACACACAACTTTATAGCTCTTGCACTAGAGTATACAGTATTTGCTTCTTTTATTATTCTTAAGGTAGAGGATTTATACTTGCTTCTGTATTATGCTAAAGCTACAGATTTTATACTTGCTTCTGTATTATGCTAAAGCTAGAGATTTCATTTAGTAGATACTGTAGTTGTTGTTCTCTTTTCTTCTTTCTTACTGTCCTGTAACCGGCGATGCAACACTGCAATTTCCCCAATATGGGACAAATAAATGATCTCTTAATGTTAATCTTAAAGAGCTGAGCCTGTGCCTATACCAGCCCGCCACCTCCATACACAAAACCCCCATAACTCTCCCCAATGTTTCAGCACGTTTGCGAGACAACTATAGCAGATGTTGGCTCGCTGCCGTATCATGACTAAAACAGCTCTCCTCTCGGCTCTTCTTTTATTAGCAAGAGTGTTTGTTTCACACTGTTGTTTCATGCCAGCTTCTGCCCCCAGCACTGACATTGATTTTTTTGCAGTGCGGCAGAAAGGCACCCAGCAGTGTTTTAAGTGGAGGTTGTCTGTGGGTGTGGGTGGGATAATGAGCGCGGACTGTATATTGTGTATTTGTGTGTGTGTGTCTAAGGTGACTGAGGGAGAGTTTGTGTGGGCTGGCGATGCTCTAGCTAGGTCCATAGGCATAATGTGAATATAGCGTCCCCAAATCCCCTTGTATAGCCATGAAGAGACACTGGAGACTTGACTAATTTGACTCGGCACATCTGACTCTGTACATTAAGTAGGTGCGACTCGGCTCTGGTTTTATCCTTTGATCCATGTTACCTCAGAGAATTCAAATGAAACACAAACACACGCACGCACACACACACACACACACACACACACAGACACACACACACAGACACACACACACACACACACAGACAGACACACACACAGACAGACACACACACAGACAGATACACACGGACAGAGACACAGACAGGGACACACAGACAGGGACACACAGACAGGGACACACATACAAAGACACACATACAAAGACAGACACACACACAGACAGACACACACAGACAGATACACAAAGACAGATACACACAGAAACACACACACAGACAGATACACACAGACAGACACACAGACAAAGAAACACATACAGGGACACACAGACAGAGACACACATACAAAGACAGACACACACAGACAGGCACACACAGACAGGCACACACAGACAGATACACAGACAGGCACACACAGACAGACACACAGACAGACACACACAGACAGATAAACAGACAGACAGACAGACAGACACACAGACAGAGACACACATACAAAGACAGACACACACACAGACAGACAGACACACCAAGACAGATACACAAAGACAGAGACACACAGACAGAGACACACAGACAGAGACACACAGACAGAGACACACAGACAGAGACACACAGACAGGGACACACAAACAGGGACACACAGACAGATACACAAAGACAGAGACACACAGACAGAGACACACAGACAGGGACACACAGACACACAGACAGAGACACACAGACAGGGACACACAGACAGAGACACACAGACACACAGACAGAGACACACAGACAGGGACACACAGACAGAGACACACAGACAGAGACACACAGACAGAGACACACAGACAGGGACACACAGACAGGAACACACAGACAGAGACACAACTTCTGACTAGGCCCTAGGGGCTTCACGACAACAGATGTAGTCGGTAACCTCTGCAAACTTGTTGATGGTAACGGTTACTGGGTTGCTGCACCCGCCGTGTGGACACAGTGAGCCTTTGCAGCGTCTATTCCGACTGGTCCACAGACCAGCTCCGCTCCAGTTTGTGACGGCAGCCGCTGTGGCCAGATGCATTAAAACTGGAGCAGCAGACTTTTGCTTTGGGTCATGAAAACATTTGTTTGTCCCAACAGAAAGAGTCTCACCAAGATAACTTTTCTCAGACCACCATGTTGTTTTTATCTCATTAGAAAACTAGGGCTGTCGTAATCAATCGCATTTTAAACAATGGACAAAATTATGCCATATTTTTCTGTTAATGGTTGTTTGAATGGAAAGATACATGCCAACATAGTGTACATATGTACTGTATTTGTTTATTATAACAAATAATAAACTCTGACAAAATCGGTATAAAAGAGCCTAAAGAGAAAATAGGAGTCTCCACTGGTCCAGAGAAATCATTGTTAGTTATCCCCATGTGGAAAACAAGTTCTCCTTTACTGTAGGTAACAAATTTCCTTTTAAAAACATATGTACTGTACAGTACATATGTACAATACATATGTACTGTATTTGTAGTGACTCAGACCAAAACTATTGCTTGTTCCAGATGAGGGACATTTCAAAACAGTCTGAAATACATAATGTCAGTAAATCTGTTTGATTTGCTCACACCATTACTTTTGGGCACAACCAACATGAACTGGTAGTGGAAGGGAAAATTAGGTACCCCAGCTTTAATTTAGCGAGTGCGCTTCGGGAGAAGACACGGAGGTGACTGAGGCTCCGTTGTCCAGCTTCTACAATGCATTTTTTGTTTGCACCGGTTACGCAAAGACACGCACACTACAAGCAGAGAATAGTTCTGTGCGTGTATGGTCTTGGCAATGATCACGTTACGGCGGCGTCGTTCGCTGTGATCACAGCTGCTGGAGGAAGGGCCTGCCGTCCAGACCGCCCGCAGATCAGCTCGCAGAGATGAACTCTGCAAGTGCCTCACGGACACGCGTGTATTCTTTTAAAACTTGGATTCCCAGAGGGCCTACCTGCTCTGTCACCATCTCACACACGCACGTGTCTGTGGCATTCTGAGTTTTATTATGGGATGCATGGGCATGCGTTAATGATTAACGGAAAAAATTAATTAACGTGCGTTAGCTCGATTATTTTGACGGCCCTATAGATTGTCTTTAACTTACTGATTGTTGATTGGTCGTCAGAGCTGTCAGAGTCCAAAAATATATGAGTGTGAAAACTAGTGACAGAAGCAAACTATCCCATGATTCATCCCAACGCTATTTATATCATAAATTATATAATTATTGGGATATTTCCGTCTCAAATCATGATACTTCTTTGGCCATATCGCCCTGGCCCTAATCACAACCGTTCATTAGTATTGAAATCGGGAAAACAGTCTTAATTCCACTAATCCTTAAATGGAATTCTCTGGAATCTCCAGCGCCTCCACATTTCAATCTGGAGGGTTTCCCCCCCAACACTTCATTAATGGGAGTGTTTGATTACTTTCTAGTACTTAATTGCTTTTTTGGTTTGTCGATAAATCTCTGTGTGCTTGCGAGACGGCTAAATGCTACAAATGGAGGGTTTCCAACCAGAGGAGGGTGATGCAATGACTAGAAAGGGAGCTCTTTCACCAGGGGCAGTGTATCTGAGGTGCTGTGAAAGCAGGCATCTGTCCTGCTGATGAGTAAGACACTGATGCTCCGTCAGCTCGGGGCCACGTCTGTGAGAACACTGTCTGTTCAGAGCAAAGACACGGCTATAAAACACACCAGCCCAGTGTCAGCAGAAAAGTAGTACAACTCCGACTGCATGTTAAACGGCAGTAATGCGCTGGAGAGAAGAGAGCAGCTCCTAAAAGGTCAAGAGAGGATTTAATACCCGAGTTCAAGCCTGGATTAAATACTTCTAACGATAACAATGTCAAACGGCTCTGTACCACATCACCGCTTTCACATGATCGAAAAGTACTTTCTCACTTTTTTCCTTAAAATATTATGTTTTATTGAAACTTTTAAAAATAATAATTTGTAGCAATATCATTGGACAGCAGCAAGACTCACTCTCATTAATCTACAATAGCAGAATTATGAGGAAATGCTCCCAGATCTGCACAGACAGCTCACACTCTGCACCCACACTACAGTCTGCTTCCTTCAGGGCGCAGGTAACAGGTCCCACCCACTCAGGACTAAAAGGGTCACATACAGCGTCCTCCCCACCTCAATCTGCTTTGAAACAGCTGATCGGTGCACAGCTTGTTTTGGTTGAAGCAGATTATGCTCTGAATCATGTATTTTATTCTAAATTTTTGCACTTAGATTTTATTAGATTTGTATTATAAATGGTGTGTCTCTGTGTTTTATGGATCTCCACCGGCGCTCCGTCTGCAAATGAAGTTCCTCACAGATAAATAACGTTAACTTAACTTGAATTGAATTTAATAATCAAGGACAGTAAACAGCAAATAGTACAATACTATTAATGCTGATCCACAAAATTCCTATTTGAAATGAAAACATATTGCAATAGTTACACATACATAATTTCACAGTGCAAAACATTTTGGGATTTACAGCAAGAAAAGAACTGTAAACCAATTTCCATTTTCAGTATCGCAATATAAAAAGCAGTCACTTTCAAATAACTCAAGACATTGATTGGATAGTTTTTTATCCAGTAGTAGTGACCAATACATGTATAACGGGTTCGACAACAGCGTTTAACATTGTCTATCACACACTAGTAGTATTATTTATTTAACCAGAAAATGACTTGGGAAATCTCCCACTGCAAAAATTGACACTGGAGTCCTTTCCTTTAAATATACCTTTACAAATGTATCTCTATTTACAGTTTGTTAGCTTAAAATGGAGTGGGAATGAAGTAAAAACTTGAAGACTCCCACTCTTGACTCAGTATGGTCGGTATGATTGCAGTGAGGTCAAGGAGTCTTGTTAGCTTCGTATTATTTTCATGTATAATTATAGATATGGTGATTATAAAAGCATTATTAAAGCTGATTGAGGACCTTAGTCTTCAGCGTTCTCTACGTGATCTTTGAGCCCATTATTCTTTCTATGCGTGGTACGTCAACGGGCAAAGATCACGACACAAGAGCGAGACGTGCCAGGCTCTTGAATATTCATCCAAGGCTTCAGCCCTGGAAAAGGACCACCGTCAAACAGCCTCGTAGAAGACATTCAAATTCCTAAACCAGCGGTGTACTCGGCAAAGAAGAGTTAAACAATTAATTATTCATACCTCTTCTCTGCAGGTTTCCTTTGTGCTCCTCAACTCTGTTCTCCTTATCCTCCTGTCCATCATGAACACACACACACACAGACGAGCTGGGTGGAAAGTTAAAGTAAAATGTGTGCTTCTAAGTGTACCTTTGTTATACCATGCAAACATACATTTTAGTCTTCACCAATGTGCATTTTTAAAAGATTTACTCACATTAAATACATCAATTTAATAACAATGACAACCAAACCCGCAAGCGGCGATGAGCAGCCCTTACCTTTTCCGAAACCGTGCTCTGCAACCGTAAAAAAGCGAGAATGGAAAGTTTGACCTTCCTATGTGTATTCCACCCACGGCTGGTTGTCAGGAGCTGTTGCACACATTATCACTTTTGAATTTCACTTGTTTTAAAAATGTTGCCAACTACATTATTGCATTATCGGGACACCATACTTTGTGCCTTAAAAGTCTGGTCAATCGACAGAGCCATCTGAACATTTTACACAGAATTTGCAAAACGTTTTCTCCTCTCTACAAAAAATACTTTCCTTGGCTTCCTTGTTTGGATCAGAATAATGTTAGGTGTGGTTCTTTTGGCACCCCCTCAGGAGCTTCCCTTTTAGCTTAACTTTGTAGTGTATCTAATACAGTTCACCGTTGGCCTCCAACTTTACAGTCTCTTAGGATCTGTCGTTCCTTTCCTTTGACGATGTCAGTCGTGTTAGTGAAAGAACTGGGTTATTGAAATAATGAGGTTTCCCATTGAAATCAAGACGCATATCCACAGCCTGTCAGAGAAGGTCTCTCCGGAGTTCACATTGAAATATATTTTTAGTATCTTTCCCTGTTGCTATTTACCGTATACTGTAGTTTTGGGGAATTTAATTAAATTTTTTTCCTGTTCCTTAAACGTTAAGTTGGAACTTGGGAATTCTACTTTTTGTTGAAACATTTTGCTTGAATTTAGTTTTAGGGCTCACTATGCCTTCTACTGTAGCCACAGTGTGCCCCGGGGCAGCTGTGCCTACAGTAGAAGTTTATCACCACAGTGTATGTGTCGTGTCTTTGAATGTCTAAAAAGTGATATGAAATTGATGCATCATCATTTTTTTTAAAGAGCAAAACTATGATATTGACAAACTATATAAAGACAATATTTTAGTCAAATTTGGCACCGCACTTGAGAAATACTACAATTGTAGTATAACCAGCTCAGGTGTTATCCTGTGATCTCACCAAAATGGCAGATCTTTGGTGACGCTTCTCCTAAATATCTTCCCCACTCCCACATGCCATCATCATTTCTAAGCTCTTCAATTTCACTCCGCTTGGATTGCGTTTGATGAATATTGATGTTAATTACCTCTTTCCTGAAAATAGCTCTTCATCCTTGATTTCCCAAAGGATTTTACATTTTTCTTACATAGTTTGTTATAAATCCATTTTGTGTATGCAATGGAATGCTTTTTGTACTATGTATCTTCAACTATTGTCGTCCCTTATGTTGTTGCCCGAAGTGCCATGTTGTGTTTCGATAAACAAAACACGTGTGATAATTGTCTGTAGGAGTCTGTAACACGCTGTGGAGACAAGTCATACTTGGCAGTCACAATGGTAAAACTTAATCATCATTATTCTGGGGAATATGTACAAGCTTTGGGATGTAGGTTGTCCAATTTCTTCCCCTTTGTCCATTTCTGGGTCGGGGGGGCGGTAGCAATCAGCAATTAACAAGTTGTTCATAATGATTTTCTTTTGTTAACAGCAGAACAAGTTATGCATCGGTGAGCATATTTTTTTTAACAGGAAAGATAGTTTTCTGTAGCAAGTCAAAAAGGAAACCGCATAAGTGTATCTTCAGGAAGTCATTTGTGACGGTTAACTGTTCGTAAACTTTCATCAAACCAAAGATTGAATCAAGAGCAGGAACAGAAATAGATATAGTATTCTGACCTGATGACATTTTACCAGGATGTATTTATTGCGGATTGTAGTCTCTCAACATCATACATGTTTAATATTGTTTATCACAACCCCATTTTCAACATTTGAAATTCCCAAAATAAAGAACTTTTGCTTCTGAGTCTACGGTCGTTGTGTCCTTGGGCAAGACACTTAACCCCACTTTTTCCTGAAGCCCCCGCTGAAAGAACAAGGCTGCGTCAAGAACCTTCCTGTGGACCCACCACCTGCAGAGGATCAGCGAGGGACTGGTGCTATGAGCTTTGGGTGGCAGCTCTCATTGCCCAGACCCAGAAATGGACTAATAAAGGGGTTGAAAATGAAAGAATGAATGCATGCTTCTGAGTCCAGTGCAAGATTCTTACTGCTATTAATAACTTCTCGACTACTGAGTTAGCCACAACCCTGCTTTTATGATTACTAATTACAGTTGTTTGTTCTTCCACTTTGAACAGAAAGCCCAAACACTTATTACATTCGTTCTGATTGGCATTTTACCACTGAGAAATTTGCCCTTTTAATCACTGGCACAAACTGATTTTAAAAATAACCTCTAGAGAGATTAGTGCGAGGAATTGAAGTTTAGAAGTGTTTGATAAAGTTGGCAGCGTGTTGAATCCGATGATAGAACTCCACCTTAACATTGTGTTTCATTACCTGAGCAGCCTGAGCTAACAGAGATGCTACATTGTTTTGTAACTTTGATAGCTCGCTTAATATCCAATTATTTATTACAGCAATGAATCACAGTCAAGGTTTTTGTGTGTTTTTCCGGAGTAATAATGAGTGTATATGCAAATGTGTTTTTGTGCAGCTTCGTCTCCATCTAAAGGACGAGGCCGAGGCTTCACAGGGAAGTCCCCCGTGAAGAGTGCGGACTCCTCGCCTGGTTCTGCTTCAAAAGTCATCCCCATTTCAGCCCTGAATCCATATCAGAGCAAGTAAGTCACACAAACGCAGTAAACAAGGATCGAGGTTGCAAGATTGGCAGAAATTTGAATTTAAGTTCAAGTATGTTGGTCATTCGGGTTATGGCAAAGTGGAGGAATTCAAGTATCTCGGGATGGAGTGTGAGATTGAATGCGGATTGGTGAAACCTGCGGATTGGCACAACCTTCGGATTGGTGCAGCCTGCGTAGTGATTCGGTCTCTGTGTCGGGCTGTTGTAAAGAGAAAGCTGAACCGAAAGGCAAAGCTCTCGATTTACCGGTCAATCTTTGTTCCCTTCGTCACTTCTGGTCATGAGCTTTGGGTAATGACCGAAAGAACGAGATCGCCGATACAAGCGGTCAAAATGAGCTTCCTCCGCAGAGTGGCGGGGGGCTCCCTTAGAGATAGGGAGCTCAGACACACGGGAGGAGCTCGGAGTAGAGCTGCTGCTCCTCCACGTTGAGAGGAACCAGTTCAGGTGGCTCGGGCACATTGATTTAATGAAGTTAATTTGAGTATTTTTATTCATCTACTTGTGTGATGTCAAATTATTAGTCTTGCCAAAGTTATTAATAGCACAATACCAAAGTTAGAGTAGAGTTTGCATGACGGACTCAGGCTGTAGCACGAGGACTGAGGCTGTGCGGTCCAGGACTGAGGTGACTCCCAGGCGGGGAGGGAAGTACAGCCCACAAATCGGGGACCAGTCCACCAGAGCAGATGAAATTTGCAACTAAACTACAAAGCCACAAATGAAAGCTTGTTATTAGCTTTGTGGTTTCACAAGGATGAAACATGATGCTTAGCTAAATGGTACTCAAAATTCTTTACACAACATGAAGCTGAACAGTGGGCCCTTTAATGTTTTCTATCCAAGCTAACGACATTTCTGTTATTATGTTAATGAGATTGCATGTAAAAGTAAGACTGCACAATGCACTACATCACATGACAAAACCCCTGCCCACTCAATGCCACATTTTCAGTGAAATAATAGCCCCCTTTCATTTACATCTCTCACTCTGATCTGCATTCCTGCCATTTGTGTGGAGCACCGTGAGCCTTGTATAGAAACGCTGATGTGTGTTCTGCTGTGCTAACTTCTCTCTGTAGCGTAGCATGTGGGGGAGTAGGAGAGCGAGGGCCCAAGTCAGGCTATTTGCATGGAAATGAACTGAACAATCTTGCCTCGGAAACGGACACTGTAATGGCAGGTACTGCTGGGTTTTTATGGTTCGCTGCTGAGGTTTTGATTCTGCTTTTTGGCCCGGTGGGGATTTGGTCTAACTTGTATTTTTCCGATTCCTTTTTCCTCTCTCACACTTTTACCCCAGGGTCCATTTTAGCACTATTTTTTTTTCTCTCTTTACCTTATCATTTCATTACGCTCTACGGCTCTAGCCTCCCGGTATAGTGAGGACTAGGTTCCCATCTGACTTCAGTGTTTAGCTCTGCGATAACGAGCGAAGTCTGTTGAAATTGTAAGCTGTAAGGATAACTACGCCTCGAGGTGTTGTTACAGACTAATGACTACTGTAACTTTTCATGGGTAACCCACAGTGGGTAAAATAAACGTCTTTAGCTGCTGTCTAACTTACTTTCTGGTAGAAAATAAACCGACACAGTGAGGAGTTGTTTATGTAGCTTTGCATGGCCCTCTCATTTCTTTTTCCCAAGTAATGACATCTAGAGCATGCTGAAAATGGCTTCTGGCATCCATAAAGTTGATAGTTTCGGTCTTATCCATAACACACAGAGAGAGGGTTCACCCACGGCAAGCAGCTGCTCCTGTGATAGTGGATTTAATTGTCGGTGAAGTTATGGTGTGAATATACCCCGCGCTAGAGCAATTATCTGCGCATTTATGAATTGCTTGGCTGTTGTTCAAGGCCAAAGTTTTAAATGCATATTGTAATTAAAACCCAGCAATTTGCCCATGCACAACTTTAGCTGTTTTACTTTTGTTTGATTTTTTTCAAGATACTTTGTCCAGTCTTCTGTGGAGTTATGTTGTTGCCAAAAGTTTGTATGTGTGTTGTTTGTAGTCCTTTTTTCTACAGCATTTCAGAATTAGACATGGTTTTATTGGCTTTGTAAGTACAGGAAGTCACTAACTAGGAATTTGCTTTGATGTATGGTGCAAACAAGTTATTAAAAAGTAAAATAAATATATAGGCATGCATAAAAAAATCATTATATTATTCTTATATATTAATACACACAATAGACATTTAACTACATGCGATATCGCATTTTGTTTTGTAAACCTTCACCATTGGCAATACAGTTTGCAGCCTGGACAATTTTGCCAATGGGCCTGGTCTCTGTTCTTTAAATGTACTTTAAGGAGGAAGGGGGTATTTTGATGTCACCCTCCTCGCCTGGGAGCTGCTTCAGTCCTGCCCCGCACATGTCCTCATCTTAAAACCTGAGTCCTGCACCACATGGCATTGGCCCTCGTTCTATAACTTTAGTCCGAGCTCTATAGTCTTTCTGTTCGTGGGAGCGGATCCATCTCCCAATGTGGTACTCCCTGAGGTTTCTCACTTTTTTGCCACTGAGTTTTAGAGTTTTTCCTTGCAGATGCAGGAAGGTCTGTTGGACAGTTAGTGTCTTTATTTTTTATTTATTTATTTATTTGATATGGACACAACAGTTACATTGGACAGACCAGATGTACTGCTTTTAGTGTTATAGCAAGACCATGCTAATTTTTTAACACTTGTCCATAGAAGGCTTTTAAGACACAAATGCACACATTTAAAATTTACAACTATAAAGGTAATTAAATATACAGTTTGTGAGATTTCATAACACTTTTAAGCAACTTTTGTTAAAGTTAAACTCATCATTCTATCAATGTGCAGAAGCCAGTACTTTTCCCTTGTTTTGTCTATCTGAAGGCCAAGCTACATGGCACCGTGGCAGCTGCTGATTGGAGGTCTCCATGCCTCCGCTCTGTATAATACACTTGCATTCCGTTGTATCTGTGATCGTGTGCTTTGTTCGTGCTGTCTCTACCATCGACAATAAAACATGTCTTCTGTCTGAATGAAAGACGCGATCCCAGACTTTGTCATCTTCTTCAGGTGGTGGAAGGATGCGGGCCTTGTCTGTAACATCTAGGGAACAGAAGACTTTTTTTTTTTACACAAAAAGTGTTTTTTTTTTAAGCCAAAACCGAAAAACCTCAAGTGAATGCGTCTGGACCAGCACACATGGACAATCTGCACAGCCCCTGATTCCATAAAGGCTGTGAGCTGCTGAGACATGGACAACACCAGCGTCCTCTTTTGCATGGACACCATTTGGAAAAATTGGATTACACAATTTGGACATAATTTGGAACAATTGGATTTCTGAATTTGGACATAATTTGGACTGAATTGGATTTCTGAATCTGGACACTAAAGCTGAAACGTGTGATTGAAAGACACGTCACAAAAGAATTCATGGCTCGACACAAATGCAGCCTGAAGAAACCAACACGGAGAAGTGGGAGAGACTGTTTTCAAAGCAATATCTGGAACCATCGACTGATGAAGTTTGGTATTTTACTGAAGATTGTTGACAAGTTTTATGAAAGATCCGAACATGTTTTATGAGTTTTTGAAGTATTCCGAGTTCTGAGTTTTTGAAGTACCGAGTGAAGTACCGAGTTTGAGTTTTTGAAGTATTGAGTTATGATGTTATGTTGCTGTTTATCGATCCTGATGGTCACACGTGAATGTATGACCAGAGGGGGGAATGTGAGATTTCATAACACTTTTAAGCAACTTTTGTTAAAGTTAAACTCATCATTCTATCAATGTGCAGAAGCCAGTACTTTTCCCTTGTTTTGTCTATCTGAAGGCCAAGCTACATGGCACTGTGGCAGCTGCTGATTGGAGGTCTCCATGCCTCCGCTCTGTATAATACACTTGCATTCTGTTGTATCTGTGATCGTGTGCTTTGTTCGTGCTGTCTCTACCATCGACAATAAAACATGTCTTCTGTCTGAATGAAAGACGCGATCCCAGACTTGGCACATCTTCTTCAAGTTCATTAATCATGTGAACAACGTTGCTCCGAATTCAGCCACAGTTTCAGACGTCTGACGAAGATGTTGAAGTCTGTTTGGAGTTTTAGGTCAGTGGGAAGAGCGTTCCACAGTTTGGCTCCATTTTTTTTCATTTCATTTTATTTATTCTTTTTTCATGGTAATGCAACATACTATACAATTGGAACAAATCAACAAACACAACAATAATACATTCCATGAAAAGAAGAACAGGAGTAGGATGAAGAAAAAAAATCTTATAAGCTCCTACCCCATTCTTTAAAAAAAAAACATTACAAATTAGATGGCCACACCGATGCTAAAAGATAACAATAGCCCAGACCAGATGTAATCAACTTTCAATTTTAACAAGTTTCTTTCTTTTTTTCCCGATTATTATTAATAATTTTGCTAAAACAACAGTGATGCAATGGTGACAACAGCGGCGACGGGAACAGCGACGAGTCCATCAAACCACACAACGCACACCCACATGCACATACAGGCAGGCATGCACAGACACACACAGGCACACCCACAGCACACACACAAAAGGATGGAGAGGATCTATTGACATATTTGTGATGAGCCCTATGCTGTGTGTTGCATTAAAAAAACAAGGTTTGAGTGGGCAGCTGTCGAAAGATGTTTGACCTCCCACAGCTGCCCATTGAAGGAAAAGCTGAACTGTCCCAACGACAAGAAGGCCAGAAGGACTGTGGTGACGATCCAGGACACTCAACTTTTCAACAACGTTTATGGACATTTATCTACACTATGGAAAAATACCCACATGTTCTTTATTCTTTGTGTTTAGACATCTCTTACTCGCATGTGGGTTTAAAAAGGGAGATAAAGGCATTAAATAGTACAAAATAGAGTCAGTTGCAAGAACAGCTAAACAGGTTGGTTGACGAGGTTGGTAACGAGGGAACGACAAAGTGGGAGTGCGAGTAGGAGAGTCTTAAAGGTGCGATCCCAGCCTCGGCAAGTTTATGGTCGGGAACGTAACAAATGGGGAAAGACTTCTATCAACTTGTCTAAGTGTGAGTGATTGGTGTGGATCACAGGGGCCCTTGACACACAATTGCAACCACTTTTCTTGTCCGTCAGCCGCAAGGTAGTTGTCTGTGCAAACTGACTGGCATTTCATATCTCGAGTGAGAAAAATGCTTTGGGTATTTGGCAATGAGAGGATATTAAAACGCTCTCCATTGTTTTAATTTTATTATTATTATTTTTCTATGTGTTCTTTCTAATGCGTTTCTAATGTTTGCAGGTGGACTATCATGGCCAGAGTCACTAAAAAAGCTAACGTACGAACTTGGAGTAACTCGAAAGGAGAAGGAAAGCTGTTCTCGTTTGAGGTTTTGGACCAAAGTGTGAGTTTATGACATAAGTAACATATATTTTACTTCAAAATCAAAATCAAATAAATAACATGTGGTTTTCAGGGAGAAATCAGGATCACAGCTTTCAACAAAGAAGTGGACACGTTTTTCTCACTCATAGAGCAGGGCAAGGTGAGCATGTATTATATACAGTGTTGGGCACGTTACTTTGAAAAAGTAATTAGTTATAGTTACTAGTTACTTCTCCCAAAAAGTAACTGAGTTACTAACGGAGTTACTCCACTATAAAAGTAACTAGTTACCAGTAAAAGTAACTATTGCGTTACTTTTTCGTTTTGTTCTGGAACATAATGTGCACTCGACGTGCGCATTTTTACCTTTAACCTCAGTGAGTCTGAAATAGTGTCAATATTTCCATCTAGAAAAGGCTGTTTTGCTGCTGAAGTCCTGTTCACTCTTCATCTCTCTCTGTGCTGTAAGCACTAAACACCAACACCCGCCACTGTGAATGTGGAAACACCGGTGAAGCACCGACTTCAGCCCAATCAGATGAACATATATATCATATAAATCAAGTGGACAATTTGTTTGGCTACAGCAAAATATGTTTCATGGCCGCATTGTTTGTTCATACAAAACGCAAAACTATGAGTTATGGGTCTTACCTTATAAATGACCTGCACAGACCACTTCAGTTCAGACCAGTTCTGTGTTTAAGTCCAGATAATAGTTTGAGCGTAGATATGTAATCCTCCATTTGGAAATAAGTTTTAAAAAGTAAAACAAAACGCGTGTGTCCTCCGCAAACTACTCTGTTTTGCTAGGTGCAGCCGGGTGCATCCAATTTCTAAAATCAACCGTCTTACACTTCACCTCTCTTTCTTATCATTCCTATAGTAATTGAAAAATTACTGTAAGTGCATTTTAAATTATCTTAAAATGTGTTATATGTATGTTAGCCAAACTTGTTGCAGCCCTTAGCAGATAAACCAGGAAGAGAAAGGAGCTTTCTGATGGAATTGTATGCAGCCGACTTCTGCACTCACATGCGCTCCTCTGAGCCCTCACGGTGATACAAGCCGTGGTTGAGCGCGACTAAGACCCATATTTGTTTCAAAAACACAATTTATGACCATCCTCTCAACTGTAGACATGTGGATTGTAAAGGAAATATGTTTTACATCAGCCAATAATTGCTGAGAAGTTTTCTCATCCTCCCTTCTCTCATGACAACACGCGCACGAGTCCTATCACGAAGTAAAAAGAGAAGTTCATTGTGCGTCTTTAGTAACGCGCAGTAACGGGATGTCGGAAATGATAACGGCGTTATAGTTACAGTCAAAGTAATTAGTTAGATTACTCGTTACTGAAAAAAGTAACGCCGTTAGTAATGCCGTTACTAGTAACGGCGTTATTCCCATCAATGATTATATATCATAGTATATCATTAATATTGGTAAATGTTATAAAATGGTTTCATCAGTCCACTTTATTTATATGACGCATTTCCTGAACAAAGCAGTTTACAAAAGTCTGGTTGTGGCCATCAGAAGTAATTATTAAAGGAGACGTATTATGCAAAAAAAAATGTTTATGACATCAGTGGTACATTGAAAGAGAAAGACCATTCATTACAAGTGCATGGCTGTGTTTGCGGCCGGTAATTTTCGAATTTGGAAGAAAATCAAAACACATTAAACAGTGATTGTGTGGAGTTTGCATATTCTCCCTGTGTCTGCGTGTCTGTTTCCCTATCACTAAAAACATGTACAATAGTTATAGCTAAATGACTGTGACTGTGGGACAATCAAAAAATATAAACAGTGGTGGTTGCATGGGTAGTTAGAGACAAAAAGCCTTTTTACCCGTCAAACTTGTTTCACCACATATTTTCTATTTTATATAATCATTCACATTCTAAAACATGAAATGACAAAGTAAATCATGTCATCATTTTAATGGCCTCACATAATGAATCATATTTCATGAAAGGTGTAGTACTTTCTCTACCTCCGAGTATTTTGATGATGAGTGTGATATAGTCCTAATTACAAAAACCATTTTATCTTCACATAAAAAACATTTCTGACATTCACTCAAGTCGTTTCTGACGCACAAACATTGGTGGTAATTGATTTGATGTGATTTACATGACATAATGAGGATAGATTAAAAAGTGCTAACAGATCTGTGAAGAGGGAAAAACAGAAACTGAAGATTATTCACTGTAAATAAGTCTCTTGAGGCAAAGTGCTGTTATCTTCGGGATAAAATTACTGTCTGAAGTGCCAAGTACTGTCACTGATGCACTTTTCAAAGTAGCATCCACTTTACTCTGTTAAGCAGCACAGAGAGCTGTTGTAGATGCTGATAAATGTAAATAATTAAAGATTTTCCCATTATTTCTGTTCAGTTTAGCTCTTAAAGAAGAAAAAATATGAATTGTTTTGGGTTTAAAAAATGATAGCCTATTGACTTCAATTATGCCTTTGTCATGTTTTCAAAAAAATAGATAATACAGAAAATATGTGGCGAAACTTGTCTGAAGGGTAAAAAAATGCTTTCTGCTTGTAACTCCCCATGCTACCACCAGAGGGAGGAGTGTCATTTGTTTAATTGTTTTCTACATTTGAAAAATATCGGCTGCAAACTATAATTCATGAGCAGACTTTTGTTTCAAAACTGCTCTGAGCCTGATGTCATAGTGGTACAATTACATCATGCTATTACAAGACTGAGACAGAACTTTAAAACAGAAGAGGCGGAGGTACACATTTGTGCCAGAAAATAATGGATATGGTGCATAAAAATAACAGCAGGTCTGTTTTTGATGAGGGAACAGTCTTGTTACTGTACATGGTTAAAAACTCAAAGTCTATTGAGCATGATGTGTTTTCTTTCATATCCATGTTTTAATAAGGGAAATAATTTGTTTAGTAGATAAAAAAGGACTAGAAAAATACGACAAATGCTGCGAAAAATCACTAGAATCTGCCAACTCTCCCGGGAAGTTTTTGAAGTGGGAAATTACATGGTTGCTGGATCTATATGGCAATGGATGAAGGCACATAGTTGTAAATATTGATTTGAGTTAGCTGAGATTCACATTGAGATTGGGAATCCTTTTGTTTTATAATGACAGATTGGCTTTGTCCAATGACGTCACAGTCTGAGTATTCATTATAGCACAAGAAGTTTTAAAAATGAGAATTTGGATGGCTGGGTCTGGGTGGGCGTGTTTGTGCCGATCTCTGCCAGAAGGTTCTATATTGTTTTGCTTAATATGTGGCTGTTTGTGGCACTAAGGAGTATTAACATGGCATGACAGTGGGCGTCTAAATGGTCCTCTAAACGATTGGGAATACCTAGTTCTATTTTGAGACCGGTTCTGGCTCGATAACTCTCGTATGCCCTTTTCCTGCCCGTTGACGCGTAGGCAATTCCAGACCACTGAAACACACGTTGAAGCCGCTGCTCAACAATGTCGCCTCTACCACAAGCCTAATAACTCTATTAACCCCGGCTCGTCACACCGGCCCAGGTATCAGCCACCCGCTCCATACATCCAATATGCGGCCCCTGCCCTCTCGAGATGAATACGACAATGATTCCGTCCCGCCCTGTGTGTTCCGAGGATCGCAGACTTTTTTCATTTAATTTGCAATAACTTACTGTATATTCTTCTAATTGGATTAAAGGGGACATATCATGAAAAATCCACTTTTTGTGTCTTAAATGCCTTATGTTGTGTAGTTGGAGTCTCTAGAAGTGCAAAAAAGTTGAAATCAGTCTCTTCATGGGTTGCAGAGAACACTTCATATTCTGTTTAGGTAAGATTTTTCAACCCGTTCTGATTTTGCCATTCTCTATTACGTGTTTGGAATTATTACGTCACAGTATTTGCAGCGGGACTGCTATATAAGGGCATGGGCGTCTAACAAAACACTTCGGCCCAGCCCTCCTCTTCTGTGCATCACTTCGAATTTGTAGTCCAAGCTCAAGGATGCCAGCGCACATGTACAGGGCTGGACTGGCCATCGGGGTACCGGGCAATGCCCAAAGGGCCGATGCCCATATTTGGGCCGGTCTGTCTGCCTCATACAAAACACATGTTTATGAGAAGTGTGAATCCGTTGAGAATTGTTCGAGCGGGGCGCCCGTATCCGCGGGGCACCTGCTGTATGCACTCGAACGGGATTCCGCCACCTCAGCGGCCGCAGTGTTCCGGGGCATCTGCGGCCGCTTTGTAATGAGCAGCTTCCGCGTCCAGCGGCTGCGAGAGGCTGTGAGCGTCCAGCCGCTCGCAGCCGCTCCACCGTGTTGCGGCTGAGCGCACAGCCTCAACGTGGCCATGTACCCAACCCCATAAACGCGCACAGGACCATGCGTGTCTTTGAGTAATCTGTGCACCCAATAAATACACTGCTGCAAGAAACAGTCCACGTCTCCCCTTTCCTCTCGAAGCGCGAATAAACGCCCTACATAAAGCTCTGATACCTAAATTTTGCATTGCATTAAAAGTTCATGTTTGAGCCCAAAAGTAATATGTTGTGAACAAATTAAACAGATTTAGAGCCAGCAAATGGCTGACAATATGCATTTCAGTCTTTTTTGACCAATTCTCATCCCTGTAACAAACAATAGTCTTGTCTGTGTCCACCTCCCTCACTCTGAGACATGTTCATTACCCTCTTGTAATGTAGACTATTGCATTTTATTTTATTGTTGAAACTGCACATATCCTGATCCTCTACAGTATTTGCTTCCACATACTGTATAAACTAGGAGTCGGCAACCTGCGGCTCCGGAGGTGCATGCGTCTTTTTCCTTCTGTAGAAGGAAAAACGTTCTTAACGTTTTTAAATGCTGTAAAATTGTGCATAAGTAATATTCAATTTAAACATTTCTGTCAACGTAGTGCGTCTTATCTTGCGACGTATGCCCGCGCCAGGCGGCCGCTGTTGTAAACAAACCGGCATGTGAGCTCTGCTTGTGTACAAGTCTCTCCATGGCCTCGCTCCAAAATATATTAGTGACATGTTAGTACCATACGAACCAGCCCGGACTCTGAGGAGCACAGGGACTGGACTCCTGCTGGGACTCTGAGGAGCACAGGGACTGGACTCCTGCTGGGACTCTGAGGAGCACAGGGACTGGACTCCTGTTAGTGCCCAGAGTCAGGACTAAACATGGGGAGGCTGCTTTTCAGATTCATGCTGCTAAAATCTGGAACAGTCTTCCTGAAGATGTGAGACAGGCCTCCTCTCTGACAATGTTTTAAACCAGGTTAAAAACAGTTCTGTTTAGCTGTGCATACAACTGAGGGATTTTATATTTTTATCTTTCTTTTTAATGTTCTGTGATTATTTATGATTTTAACGCTTTCATATTTTGTTCAGCATTGAATTGCCTTGTGTATGAATTGTGCTATATATAAATAACTTTCCTTTCCTTGCCTTGACTGTGCGCATGGATCCCAAAGCTAAAAAGGGAAGAGTCGATAATAAGACTGGACTAAGAATGAAAATTAACATTTGCTTTCAGTCAATGAGTAAGGCCTGCTTCATGTTTGCGATGTAATGAGAAGTTTCTATGAGATAATTGTATCTGTGCTTAGAAACTACAAAAATGGCCGCTCGGGGTGGAGTTGAACCTGTGTCACCTGGATGGGGGCGTGGTCAAAAGCGCCTCATTTGCATTTAAAGAGACAGCACCAAAACAGGTTGCTCTCAGACGTACCTCAGAACAGGTGTAAAAGAAAGGCCCGTGGAGCTACAAATAATGAGACTCAGACCCAGGCATTGCAGTTACGCTTTATATAGGCCACAAATTAATGATTTAGATGTAAAAATCAATTATTTGAAAACACGATATGTCCACTTTAAAGGTAAAGGCAGCTGAGTTATTGCAGGCTGATATGTATATATATATATATATATATATTATTTTTAGATAAGCTGTGACTCATTGTTTGCGATCACTGTTAACTATGGTGGCTTTTTTCTCTGGATATTAAACTTTATAATGATTTATAACATGCCATGGTAGCCATTCAAAACCTCTTTTATCAACGTAAGAATAGTATCTGTTGTCCTGGATTTGGCCCGCAGGCCGCATGTGTGACATGCCTGATTTGTAGATACCACATATTTTTTAAACAGTCTAATTGGTTACTGAGCTGTTGGCTGGAAGTGTAAAAATGTGCAGCATCTCACAGTCTGACTCAGTCATCATTCATAATTATTCTCTGAGATGCGTTTAGAAGCAATGTTTTCTCAGTTTGAGGAGTGCAAAACATTCATATACCTTGTTTGCAGATATCAAAACAGTCTCATTGTTAACAGTCAATCAGCTCCCACCCCAAAACATCAATAACTGAAAAGTGACTGAAAATGTTTTCTAATAAGATAAAGACAGCTTGTTGTGGCTTGATTTGGTCTCAACATTTTCAGTCTTTCTTCCGGGACAAACAAAACGTACTAATTACGTACAAAGAATCACTGTAAATGCCGCTATTAAGACGCTGTGCTAGCTTTATTGCAAAGACTCATTCTTGGTTTCTTTCCTAATTCTACACTGCTCGTGATATTTATGTGAGTTTGGACGGAAAAAAACGGTGTATGGGGAAATTAAATGGGATGCTGCAGCAGAAACAAACGGTGGAAGGAGAGAGAGAGAGCTGTGGCGAGGAGTCGGCAGAGTAAATTAAGAAGTGCGTCTGGCAGATTGAGTTTAAATTGTGCTGTTTAGGCCAAGCGCTCTCAGCAGCTCCTTATTTTCTGGTGAATTAGAGAAGTGATAGGACTGATATGACTCTGCATCTTAGTCAGACCTGCAGGATTCTACCAGCCTATTTTGAGATTTGCATAGAGCAGCCTTCACATTGTTGCGGTAATTTCCTTTTCTGCTCAATCAATAGACAGGGCGCTACGATTTGAAGACGTTCACAGGAAGTTACAGGTTTGATGGGTCTAATTTAATAAAGCTAATTCTCCACACGTTCCCCTTCCCCCGCTGTAGGTGTACTATATTTCCAAGGCGACGCTAAAGGTGGCTAATAAACAGTTCAACTCGCTGAAGCACGAGTACGAGATGACACTTCACGCTCATTCCACCATCGTGCCGTGCGATGACAGCGACGACGTGCCGGATCTACGCTGTGATTTTGTGCCCATCTCAGAACTGGAGCAAAGGGAAAACGATACAGTACTTGGTGAGTTTTTGTTTGAAAGCGGCACACACACACACACACACACACACACACACACACACACACACACACACACACACACACACACACACACACACACACACACACACACACACACACTAACACACAGACTGTAGATTTTCATTTTAGGATCGAAGATGTGTGAATAATACACCAGCCTTGCACAGACTTTTTAATATCAAAGGAAATGGAAATAGCTGCTTCTTTGTTTGATACTTTGATCTATAGACTGTATATTTGGAGTGGACTAACCGGAGTCCTGACGTCACACATAGCGTTTGTCGAATGCAGAAGAAGCCGATTTTGAACATAAACTATCTTGAGCCAATTTCTTCATATGGGCTTTTGTTCCGACAGCTTTATCTTTGTGCCTCAACAGGGGCAAATGTTTTGGGAGTGTCCCCTACAAATGAGGCCACTGATCCAATGGTCAATCCTTGTTCGGCTCATATCTGTATTTACATAGACAGTCCTTGTAAGACTCACAAAGATTCACAAAGACCCTATCAGAATTATAAAGAACTTGAAACCACATATTTTAAACCCCAAAATTGTGGGTGTTACACAAACAGTTACTAAGCAAGAGGAGTTGGAGTGAAACTTCAGCACGAGCACTTTCCTATTAGGCTTCATTGAGGTAGTGGGTTAGCATTGTCCATCTATATACAGTCTACAGATTTGGCTTTGGTGTGATCATGTTTCACTGGGTTTATGCGGCTCTCGTCAAAACTGGATAACTCGCCTTGTCCAGTTTCAAATGAATCGAGAAAGACCCGTATTAACCTCATGGCTCGAACCATTTCTGCTCCATTTACGCTGACATGTATCCCCGCACAATCGTACTGGAGTGGGTCAGCTGTCCTCTCACTGCCCCTCCGAAGTGTCACCCAAACAGAATAGATATGAATGCTAGCTCGAAATGTAAAAATTTTATGAGATCAGTGACGATGAAACAGGAAGGGCAACTACACAAAGCCGATTAGTCCTTGCATTTGTGTCCATTCTGTACATGTGTAAATTTATACTGAATTATAACTGAATTACACTTTTCATATACGTATACTGGTGCAGAGTGGTCAGGCCAGTGTGGGAGCAACAAGTAGCGTCCGCAAACCAACTCGGTGAGATAAAGGGTCAGAGTGAACACTCTTGTTGCTTTTATAACATCTTGTTGGATCAATATTACAATTTAAAATGTACTAAATGTATAATAATGAGTCACAGGGTGTCATAGGTTATTATATTAAGTAGGCAGACATGCACTTTGTCCTTTTTTAAGAATTGCTATTTATAATGGCCTGTTAGTGAAGAGAAAAACTTTATTTGAAAAAGCACGGGTTTGTATTGCCCTTTTCCCAGAAGAAGTTGTGGTGTGCCTGTGTCAGAAAGTTTGCCACTAAATATTCAAGCAAACAAAATTCAAGGCCTATTTTGGTAGAAGCGAGCCTATATTTAACCTCTTTTCCCTCATTTTTCCAGTTTTACCATAATCAAATATGAATTTCTTCAATGCTGGTTATTCTACTCATTCAAATATAATACTTAAGTAATGTTTTGGTTTCTTTATGTAACAGTGGGCATGTATACTGTATTGATGTCTGCAAATGCACCTGCATTAGCTTAAAGAGCTATTTTTCATCAGTGGTTCAAAGTTAGAAGGTTTTTTAATTGTCTTTTGAAACATAGACAGGATAGTTGACACATTCTCATTATAGCAGCTTTATCTCCTGAGTTCAGTTTGCGCTGTAAGTCTGTACAACACAGTCACCGCCTTGGAAGGCCTGACACATATTCACTTAGTCCAATTAGCAAATTGCATTCAGTGTTCTCCAGACAATTACATGTCTCGTTGCCTTTCAGAAAGACTGAATAGAAATGGCTGCTCTGTTCAGCTGAATGGATTTTCATTAATAATTTAAATACTTTGCTAAATCAAGGATTTCAAAAATATGTTGCCAAGTAGATCTCTCATAATTAAATAAAAGGTCTCTGCAGACAAAGGTATAATGGGTATACTGTTTAAATTTTTGCTCGTCAACTTACCCATTTGGTATAAAATATTTCATTTATCATCCTCCACAATCTTGGTCAATTCTCAAATGATAATTGTGTTGTTGTGCATTGTTAGGCCATTTACAGGGTACTTACATATATACAGTGCCTTGCGAAAGTATTCGGCCCCCTTGAACCTTTCAACATTTCGCCACATTTCAGGCTTCAAACATAAAGATATAAAATTTTAATTTTTTGTCATGAATGAACAACAAGTGGGACACAATCGTGAAGTGGAACGAAATTTATTGGATAATTTAAACTTTTTTAACAAATAAAAAACTGAAAAGTGGGGCGTGCAATATTATTCGGCCCCTTTACTTTCAGTGCAGCTGACTCACTCACTCCAGAAGTTCAGTGAGGATCTTTGAATGATCCAATGTTGTCCTAAATGACTGATGATGATAAATAGAATGCACCTGTGTGTAACCAAGTCTCCGTATAAATGCACCTGCTCTTTGATAGTCTCAGGGTTCTGTTTAAAGCGCAGAGAGTACCATGAAGACAAAGGAACACACCAGGCAGGTCCGAGATACTGTTGTGGAGAAGTTTAAAGCCGGATTTGGATACAAAAAGATTTCCCAAGCTTTAAACATCTCAAGGAGCACTGTGCAAGCAATTATATTGAAATGGAAGGAGTATCAGACCACTGCAAATCTACCAAGACCCGACCGTCCCTCCAAACTTTCATCTCAAACAAGGAGAAGACTGATCAGAGATGCAGCCAAGAGGCCCATGATCACTCTGGATGAACTGCAGATAACTACAGCTGAGGTGGGAGAGTCTGTCCATAGGACAACAATCAGTCGTGCACTGCACAAATCTGGCCTTTATGGAAGAGTGGCACGAAGAAAGCCATTTCTCAAAGATATCCATAAAAAGTCTCGTTTAAAGTTTGCCACAAGCCACCTGGGAGACACACCAAACATGTGGAAGAAGGTGCTCTGGTCAGATGAAACCAAAATCAAACTTTTTGGCCACAATGCAAAACGATATGTTTGACGTAAAAGCAACACAGCTCATCACCCTGAACACACCATCCCCACTGTCAAACATGGTGGTGGAAGCATCATGGTTTGGGCCTGCTTTTCTTCAGCAGGGACAGGGAAGATGGCTAAAATTGATGGGAAGATGGATGGGGCCAAATACAGGACCATTCTGGAAGAAAACCTGTTGGAGTCTGCAAAAGACCTGAGACTGGGACGGAGATTTATCTTCCAACAGGACAATGATCCAAAACATGAAGCCAAATCTACAATGGAATGGTTCACAAATAGACGTATCCAGGTGTTAGAATGGCCAAGTCAAAGTCCAGACCTGAATCCAATCGAGAATCTGTGGAAAGAGCTGAAGACTGCTGTTCACAAACGCTCTTCATCCAACCTCACTGAGCTCGAGCTGTTTTGCAAGGAAGAATGGGCAAGAATTCCAGTCTCTCGATGTGCAAAACTGATAGAGACATACCCCAAGCGACTTGCAGCTGTAATTGCAGCAAAAGGTGGCGCTACAAAGTATTAGCGCAAGGGGGCCGAATAATATTGCACGCCCTACTTTTCATTTTTGTATTTGTTAAAAAAGTTTAAATTATCCAATAAATTTCGTTCCACTTCACGATTGTGTCCCACTTGTTGTTGATTCTTGACATTTATTTTTATTTTTATATCTTTATGTTTGAAGCCTGAAATGTGGCGAAATGTTGAAAGGTTAAAGTCGAATACTTTCGCAAGGCACTGTATATATATTTCAGATATAGATTATTCAATCACTAACATAAGAACATAATCTGTGGGGGTGTAGATTGTTTTGTGCCTGTGTCTCACGTGTGCGTGCATGCGTGTTGTATGAGTTAGAGGGGTTGGAAACAATTAAGCCTCTGCTTTGTCCAACCTCTGTTCAAACTTTCTATCCTGTTATTGTCTTTTAGTTTCAGATTTGAAATACATGGCTATACTATACATTCTTAGCCTGGGCATGCTCATGCTGCTGTGTGTGCTTGAAACATTTCCAACGGCACAAGAGTGTGGAACCTCTTGCTATAAGTTCTGCATGGATTTGGGGACAAATTACAGACGAGGGGCAGCCAGATGACAATGATGTGGTCTTTGACAGACAGAAGCTTGTAGTTTGTTTACAGATTCAACTAGACGACATCATGTTTAACTTGGAGGTATATGAGAGGCCTTCATTGCGCCTGATAAATGCCTATGGATAATCTAAAACAGACTGTCCTACAAAAAATTTAATGGATGGTTCCTGGACCACATCTCATATTTAGTCTGTTTATTCCAGTTCAATACATTCTGGCTTTTTGTCCCTAAAACATGTCCAGATGCCATATATCACTGTTTTATGTCAAGTAGACTCGGTTCACTTCAGAAACAAATGTAACTGTCCTCACAGTGTCACTGAACCGTTACAAAGTTAGTGAGTTAACTGTGGTTACTAGTGAACAAGGGAGGACTTATTTGGAGTTTGAAATCTCCACAGAAAAAGTGTATTTAGACCAAAGTGCACCAGAGTCCACATCATTTGAACTCACCAGTCGAACAAGACCCAGACCTCTGCCCTGTCACCTTCTTTTGCTCCTATTGACTGCATTCTCGCACACAAAATCCTGCAACAATCCACAAAATTCAGCCAAGAAAATATTTAATTTCCACATGCTCGGAGGCACACCACTCCAATATGTTCATGCTCTGTGATTTCAGGTAGCAATAAGTCTCCTGTGGCTTTAGCGCCGAAAGTACTTCCAGTTTAGACACATTCATAATAGCTGTAATAGACACCAGAAGCCCAGCGCAGCGTTTGAGAAATAATTGGACAGATCCCAAAATAAAAACAATGCATTTTTCGTCTCTCAGATAAATTCATGTGGGTTTGACAGAAGAGTAAAAGTTGCCTGCTTTTCTCCAAGTGCTGTAGCTATTTCTGATGGATTTGATAGAGGTCAGAGTCGGGGTCGGTGTAATTGAACGGAAAGGAAACTTCAAAGCTTGCTCACACAAAACTCTCGCTTCCTATGAAGATTTGGGGTCGGATAGCGTTTCCTATTTTTTTTTCTTTTCTTTTTGTAATAAAATGTTGAAACAATGTCACAACCTCAGTCAAAAACACCACGGAAATGTAATCCCAACTGGACCATCGGATCACATTTGTGGTGTTTGCTATTACAAGTGTTTTTTTTTTACTATTATTCCAAATAGGTTTCACATCTTCAGACTTATCCCCAAATGACTTCGCCAAGTAACATTATGTGAGAAAGCACACCATTTCACGGCATCATTGATTAAATGGATCAATAGTGGTTTTACACATTCTCTTGTTGCCCCTATAATTAGATTCCTTATAGTGAAATATGAAGTATGTTGAATACATTGTCAAGATGGAGATATTGATTTCCTCCCTTTTCTGACTAAACTACAATCATTCCCGCAAACCTTTCTCAACGCAATTACTTTTTATCATTAATTCTTATAATGATTTAAAACTGTGATGACTAATAGACACTTTATAGTTGGAGCCCCTGTAACAATGCAATACTTGTACCACTTATTAAACTGACCTTTTACAGATTTCTTAATCACTTTGTGCATAAAACTTAATATTCCCTCATTTGAAAGGTTAGACACTGACCTTTTAATATTGAAACTTTTATAGCTTTACAAAGTGCACATTTAAAGCATTATGTTCTGTAACAATATATGTATTAATTGGTAATTCAATTATTGTTCTGCTCTATATACACACGTCTCTAAAAACATAACTGATTTTAATCCTCAAACATAGTAGGAGTTAGTTAGAATGAATGAAATGTGTACATATTTAACAATTATTCCAAACAAAAGAGTATTACAGAGTATAACAGCCGTGCTCAACCATGACTGTCACCCTTTGCAGGACACGCTGGAGAGCAGCTTCAGTGACAGACTGCTCCACTCTCACTGTGTGAAGGAGGGATTCCGCAGGGCTATCTCTCCTGCTGCTGTCAGACTGTACAAAGAGGAGTGTTGAGCCTGTACATCCATCATACTGACAATTCATTAATCACTTTACCTGCTGCTAATTTGATTAATTCTGATCATATTCTCTGCTACAAATTTATCTGAAACTTACGAGTTGCTTACCACAGTGTTTGATGTGTGCGTAACCTGAGTGCTCTTATGTCTCTTGTGATATGTACAACAACGACACAAGCATTTCACTACTGAGGGATTTAGCGAATAAATACAGTATTATCTTCTTTAATTAGGGTGGCTCAATTAGCTCTACTTCAGTTTCATATATAACAATATATTTTTGTGAATTATTTAGCGTTTTTGAGAAATGGCCAATACTGTATGTGCGTCTATATTTCATTATAGTCTGGATTTACTTTTATTCATTAAAACATGCCACTGTTGTCAGGCGGATTACAGATTACAGACATTATGCAGATCGTGGAGAGTTTGATGTTATGTAATAGTAGGACGATATCCTTAAACCACAGTGGATTAGCCTCGTCAGCTGATTAAAGTGGTGTTGATGATGTATTGTCACAACAGCGCTGCGTGTTCAAAGGACAAGCGATAATCAGTTATTTGAGTTTATTTAAGTTTTAATTTGCAGTTAAAAGTGACTGTTCAGGATCAAAGAGGAAGAGGAAAGAACTGAGCCTCACAACTACACTCTAATGCTCTTGCAAATATATAATAATTTTACCGCGAACGAGTAATGTTTCAGGCTAATATAAAGTCACTCATGTCATTTCCTTTTGTTCTGAGTGTTAGTGTTCATTCCAGTCACTGAAAGATCACCCGTCTGAGATACAGTTTTAATGGTTGTAGAAATAGCTACATATTCAATAAGTGGTCATCATTGTAACATTCAGGGCATCGCTCAAACGTCAGTGCAGGAAGTGAAAACCTAAGTAGGATGTAAACATACTGCATGATTTCACAGTCAGTCCCAAGATTGAGATTAAGAAATGCTTTATTCGTCCCACTGTGGGGAAATGACACTGACCACAGCAGAGTCATGTGAGGTGGTGAGCAGTAACATAGTAAGATATTTAGATGGATAGATTGATGCTTTTGGGTGGAGTGAGGAATTTGGGTGTTCAGCCACAAAAACCCATTCATTCATGCAATCAAAACTAATAAATACATAATTCTAAAATGTACAATATATGCACTGCAAAAAATCATAAAGAGGTAGCAATTGCTTGAATCAAGTAGTTTTTATCTTAATTTGAGCATTCTGACTTTCTTAAAACAAGATTTTCCAGCGGGACGAAGCCGTTTAGTCTTTCTCATTCCATTTGGCAAATCTTGTTTTAAGGCAGTCAAAATGTGAAAAATACATTTTGCCAAATTTGAGCAAATTTGTGCTTTATTTTTTATTCGGTTTTTGCAGTATGTTTAGTTTTATTGATTTCTTTTTAGTTCAGTGTTATGGCAACATGATGGCTGAGTGGATAGTAATCTCACTTCTCAGCAAGAAGGTCCTTGTCAGAAGAGGGTGTTTCTTAGTGGAGTTTGCATGTTCTCCCCGTGTCTGGGGCTGCTCCGGTTTCCCCTAAACACATGTACAATAGGTCTGAACGTAATGAGTGAGTGATGGAGGGCGTTGGGGGCTTCGATGCTCCAGTGTGTTTGGCGCTTCTCGCTTCTGTCATCACTGTGTGGAAAGATTGGAACAATATCTGAACTCTGAACATTGTAAAGCGCTTTGGGTGACCTTGACCCTAGAAATAAAGTGCTTACTTACTTATTATATGTATGTAGAGGACAAATTCCTCTTAGGTACACATGTTCATCACCTACAGAACGTTATATGTAGTCAATTCTGAAATAATTATAATTTGCAATCATTAAGTCCATTTCATACTCAAACACTATGGACCATGCATATGTACGGTGCTATACATCCCATCTGTTGAGTGTCTCGTGACTTTCTCATTGCTGCCTTTGCGCGCTCTCCTTTTGTTAAATAGAGGATTATAACATGGTAATGAGAGCTGTCAGCCTGTTCCAGCCGTGATAATGGAGTTCAGAGGTGGATGACATCGTCTCAATCATAATGGAATTATTAACGGCTGCGAGTGAGTTTAGAAAGAGGTTAGCAGTCAGCTGGAGAGATATGTATATTTAAAAAGTTGGCCAGCCGCGCCAAGTTCATGAAGTGAATTCATTTAATAAGCGTTTGCAATTTGTCCGTCGGGATCTTCCCCGAGAGGATGAGCTTTGGTAATGAGTTTTTGCATTTATAATATATATCTTTTTGTTATTGTTAAGAATTGACAAAAATGACAACGTCTCAGACAGAAAGATGTGTTATTGTCGATGGTACAGACGAGACACGTACAACGTTTTTCATAATGCATGTGATATTATAGGATAGACCGTCCAATCAGCATTTGCCATGGTGCCAGTGGCTTCGACCTTCAGATGAACCAAAAACATTTGAGTGGAAAAGTACCAGCTTCAGCAAGGCAAAATGTAGCTTTAACCAGTGATATAAAACATCCAAAGAGTTGCCTTGTATATGAACTGCACTGTACAAACATCTATTTCTGTAGTTCAACTTAAAATATGAAACCAATACATGAAATAGTTTTAATTTATGCAAAGTGACACATGCCAAGCCTTTGTTTGTTATCATGTTGGTGATTTTGGCTCACAGTTCATTTTCAAAACATTCAAAATGTTTGAGTCTAATCTCAACTTAGTTTCCTCATTGTTGGATTTTCAAGGTTCTCCTGTGATGTCACACGTAGGTCAGTCTAGTAGTGCTGGTTAGATACAGTGTATACACATTGAACTATGGCTCATAAGGGTTTTGTTATTATTGTATTTCCTGTGTTCAAACAGTTTGATTCTCTGATCTGTTATTGGGGAATCAACAACTTTATTAAGTCCTCGAGAGGACGGCTGTCCTCTCTGTACAAAAATACATCAAATTGAATTGAACAGTTGGTATTAGAGCAATTCTTGACATTTCTAGTTTATATATATCATATACCCGTGAATTGTAATATTTTTAGCACTCATGCGTGTTGTATGTTATGGTATTGGAGTATTTGCGTCACTGGTGGTGATGTCACACACACCTGCACACACTTCATACCATGTGAGGACATTTCTGGAGGCTGGTGTTAATATAATCTCCCTGTTGCTGTCCTGTCTTGTGTGCCCAGACGTGATCGGTGTGTGTAAAAGCACAGAAGACGTATCGCGGATCATCACCAAAAACAGCCGAGAAGTCTCCAAACGAGCCTTGAGCCTCATGGACTCGAGTGGGAAAGTGGTGACAGCGACTCTGTGGGGAGAGGAGGTAAACCGTATAAAGAGCAACTGTTTTAAATGATTCTAGGTGCACTCTTATACTGGTTTATCATGCCCAAAGTAAGAGATTTTGTACTTTATTCTTGCTTCTTCATTATGCTAAAATTGTAGATTATAGATTGCTTCCTTATTATGCTAAAGCTAGAGATGTTATTTGATGTTATTTTATTTAGTAGAGAGTTTAGAATAGAGTATCTGTGTTTGTTTATCTTACTGTGTGCTCCTCATTCCTACTGTTTTGTAACTTGCGATGCAACACTGAAATATCCCCAACTGTGGGATGAATATATGATCTCTTAATCTTAATCTTACTCGACCAAAGCAGTATGACCACAGGGAAGTATAACAGCAAAACATAGATAGTGGTTTGCAAAATTGTTTTGTTTAGTTTGAGGACTAAACTAAACTAAACTGGGACTGCAGATGGAAATGAGGTGTGTGGCTATGATCTGGTGCAGAACATATCTGTCCTTGAGCTTAATGTTGCTGTGTACTGTCTCTTTAAAATACGGACTAAACTAAACTAAAATCCTTACAACTTGCATACAACTGTAACATACTTATGCACAATACCAGACTTGTATGTGTTATTTTTGTTTAAATTTGTACTGCACATAAATCAACATAACAGATGCATGTAAACAAGTACATGGCTCAAAAACGGGGTCTGGATGAAGCACATGCTCATATTAACCAAATTCCCTCATACCCATTCAACACAGCAACACAATACAATACAATACCATTCAGTGGAAGTCATTAAGAAAAACACATGACAGTTTAATATTGTCTGTACAGTAAGACAAGACACCACACTGGTGGTAGTGTATCGTCCCTAGTGTCTGCTAATAAAAAAAAAGTCTTCTGTTCTGTAGATGTTACAGACAATGCCCGCATTCCTCCACCACCTGAAGAAGATGACAAAGTCTGGGATCGTGTCAATGTGTTTAATTCAGACATGTTTTATAGTTGATGGTAGACGTACGAACACGACAGAATGCAAGTGTATTATGCAGCATGGAGGAATGAACACCGTCCAATCGGCTTTCGCCGCGATGCCCGTAGCTTGGCCTTCAGAAATCAAAACATGCTGTGGAAAATTACTGGCTTGTGCATATGTTAGAATGATGAGTTAGAACTTTAACCACAGATGCTTCAAAGTGTCATGAAATACCTAAATTTGCTATTTTAGTAGAAAGTACAAAATAATACAAATTAACTGAATTATACAGTGTCATTTTTGTGTGTCCCTAAATATGCCCCTCGTTATCATCCTACTCACCGCCACAGACAAATGACTGTGTTTTCAGAAGCCATATTCTAAGGGGTTTGACCGGAAAGAGGCCTAATTTGGGCCACTAAATATTAAATGGGTTGTAACTTGTCGTAGGCCCCCCAAGACGATAATAATAGTGGATTAAGAGTTGTCTTGAAGGAGGAATGTTAGCTTGTTAAAGTCAAATCTAAATTCACCTGGGAAATAATGTTGTCCTTGTTTTGTAAAGCAAAATTCCAAAAAAGAAACATTAACTTCAACTTTTGCTCCATTTATACATAGCAAAGTAGTGTGTGGTCATCCTTGCATACAAATAGCCAGATCTCGTCAGACCTCTAAAGCTGAGCAGGGCAGGGCCTGGTTAATGCTGTGATGGTAGACCTCTGGGAACATCAGGTGCCACAGTGAGGCGGCTGCAAAGTGCCAAAGTATCGTTGTGTCCTTAGGCAAGACACCTTACTCACATTGCCTAAAGTTAATCTGGTGTGTGTGGATGGTTGCCTGGTACTGGTGGCCTCGCTTCTGTCAGTGTGCCCCAGGGCAGCTGTAGCAACAATAGTAGCTTATCACCTTTGTGTATAGAGTGAAAGAATAATGACATGTGAAGCATCTTTGAGTGTCCAACAAAGTGCTATACATAGAACCGATGTATTATAAGAATGCATATCAGGTTTCATTAGACAATACACTCCCGACAGCATTTTCTCTGTCAGGTAACTTTCCCCTTGTCTTTCTTCAGGCTGAGAAGTTTGATGGCTCTGGGCACCCGGTCGTTGCCATCAAAGGGGCTCGCTTGTCTGATTTCGGGGGCAGATCTCTCTCCGCTTTGTTCAGCTCCACAATCTTGGTCAATCCAGACATTCCTGAGGCGTTTAGATTAAGAGCCTGGTGAGTCACACTTCTATGCACTGACACGCGCCTCATAAAAAACAAACCGGGCTGAGAGACAAGATTACAGCAGATCACAGTGAGACGTGAAGGTGTGTGGGTTAATGCCTCCAATAATCTGATACAGCAATTACACTAATGAAGGAGACACAGAAACAATAATATATGTCACAAGTTAAATACTCCGCTGCTATCTTAATCATGTGGTATTTATCCAGTTTATACTGTCTTACTGCTGGTTTGATATTAGTAAAGTATGCACATGAATAGTTTTATATAGGGCAGATTTGTACAAAATGTTCAGAAAAACTGCAAAAATGAGACAAGGAACAAATGATTAGAAAATCCGGATAACTGTCTGGAATGGAACTCCTCCTCTTGGCGACTACTTTTCTAGTTTGCATTAGTTTTCTTTGAAGTTTAAGTATGTAACTTTTTTGTGAAATAGACAAATAATATGCATGGGTTTTTTCACATTTTTCATGACATCAAAAGTACGTACATCTTTCCAAACAGCGAGGTGGTTGGCATGTTCAAAAATCTGACTCGACTGTGTCCTGAAGGAAACCTTAAAGTTAAAGGAATAGTTCACCGTTTTTACATACTGACATACTCAGGGTCGCAGAGAACATTTATATTTTTAAAGCCAGGCTCAAGACACACCTTTTTAGATTAGCTTTTGATTAGTATTTATTAGTCCATTTTTATATATTCTATTTATCTTTTATTATTTATTATATTGCTATTGCTTTTATTCATGTTTTGTGTGATAGTTCCTTTCAGGCTCACATTTTAGTGTTTTACTTATTGTATTGTTTTTAGTATCCCCAGTGTTTCCTCTGGAGGAGCCCTCTGCGCTGGGAGCGGTGGTTGGCTGTGGCTGTGGGGGTCGGACTCTTGGACCTGGTGGGGGCCTGGGTCCTGTGTCGTCCCCTTTGGCTATGGGCGGCTCTCTGCTCCTGGCGCTGACGGGTCCTTGGATAGTGTTTCTTCAGCCGGTTGCATCTGAACCCAGCCAAGTCTCTTATCATCGTTTTATTGGTTTATCGGTGCGTGTGTGTGTGTGTGCGCATGTGTGTGCTTGGGGGGGGGGTCTGGGGAGGGTCTGTTGGGCGGTCGGGGGGAGGGCATGGGCAGGATTGTTTTTTAGCCAAACTGTAAAGCACTTTGTGTTGCATCTGTTGTATGAAAAGCGCTTTATAAATAAACTTTGATTGATTGATTGATATGTTCTTACCTTACCTTAGACTAGTTAATATGTACTTGTCTGGTCTTAGTCCGTGCGCTCTGTCATGCAAACGGAGCAAAAACGGGAGCACAAACGCAGCCTCCTCTGTATACTGTATAGTACCCAAAAGGTAGCTCCCGCTAGAAGCTACCAAACTCTTCCAAGTGTTCCCTATTAAATGTATATAGTTACGTGACGTGTTACCCTGCAAAGTATAGTAACACAGAAATGTAACAGTCAATTTTCTCAGCGGATAAAACGGGTACTATATTGTGAGGCGTAGTAATCTGAGGAGCGCTACGTCCGCGCACTAACTTCTCTCCGGAGACTTCTCTCTCGCTCACTTCCGTCAATAGAAGCAGTTCTCTCTCTCGCTCACTTCCGTCAATAGAAGCAGCGTGACTTGTAGTACGGAGAGAAGTATTAGTCTGTATTCATATAGTGCCTTTAAAAGACCAGAGTCACAAAGCACTTTACATTTGTTGTGGGCATTTGTCTTCTCACTCCACACATGGGAGCGGGATTGTCATACAGGAGGGCAATGTCTGACCTATTGTACATGTTTTTTTTAGTGGTAGGGGAAACCGGAGCACCTGAAGGAAACCTACACAGAGATTATAGTTATATACAAACACAGTGTTTTATAGTCAAAGTTAACTAGATACTAGTTTTACAGCAATACGAGCAAAAACATTTACTGATAAGCTTAGAGCTGGGTGAATTTAGTATAGACTCTCCCCTCACATACACTCAGGTGTCCAGTAGCAGCAGAAACACATCCATCCATACAGAAAGAACAAATTAATACGTAAGTCTAAAAATAGCTAGCAATAGTATTAAAATGCAACAGCACTTTAGGTCACAGCAGCAGAGGTGGAGTAGCCGCTTAGTTCTGACCGTTTTCTCTGCTCTAGTCCAAAGTAAAATGCTGAATGCTTTGTTAGCATTTTTTTTTAAATTTGCGTTCCTCCAGTGGATTTTGGACCTGCACCGTTTGTTTTGGACCATGAATCCTCTCCGATCCGGTCTGGAGCTGTGCAAAACCATGAACACTGTACTGCAGCAACATTTCAGGCAGAAAAAAGCACAATTGTCAAGCACAAAACTGTTTCACAACTACTTAGGACTTGCTGCCGTTTCCAGCGCATTCACATGCCCTCATATACACTCACATGTATACACATACACATGCACATGCACGTGCACATAAGCTCCTCACTGTGCTGCTCACATGTCTGGAGATGGGTGGCATGTGCCTCTTGGATCCCAGTGGGACCGTAGACAGGATGGCGGCAGCATGGGATGAAGACGGGAAAAGCAGGATATTTCTGGATTTGAGCGCCTCTGTGCTGCTTCTGTGTGAGCAAAAATGTGAGAACATAGTGATACGCAACGTCAAACCACTTCTGTCTGTTAACAGAAAATCTTCACCAAGTCCAATTCATGACTCATTCTCTCATTAAGGAATCTCTAAGTCTTGGACACACAAAAAGAAGTAGTAAATAATTATGACTCGGGAGACAGCTTTTTAATAGCAAAAGTTATTCTCAGCTTGAAAATGTGCCAGTACATTGTTCCTACATCCAAAACATAATTAATAATGGAAGTTTTTTGGCTATTACTTTATAGTGATTGGTTATTATCCCGGGCGTCTTCCTAGAGCCAAGCTATAGCTCACTCTGAGAGTCTGAATGCTATAGTCTCCATGTCATGTATACAGGGCTCTGTCACAGTGGACCATGGGCAGGAAATGTTATGACTAATGCCACTGCAACATGCAGCATGTGGTAAATCATTCTCTGTAGTTGTTTTTATGGCATTTTCTTTTCTCACAAGGCTGTGTTATTATTCTTGGGAGTGGGAATGGTTTCACACCATACAGTCTCATTTGAAACACATGAACATGACTGAGGTCTAATGGGAAGCTGCACAGAAATTTTGCTCTAATTCTCATTCACTTTGAGTCAAAACTAAACTCACTCACTTTTAGGCTTAACAAATAAAGTGTTTACGCTTTACACAATCCTTCTGTTTTTCTTTTAATCATGTCGTAAATCAAGATATGACCCATAATAACTGACCAAAAGGTTTATTTCCTATCCGACCTTGACTAACGTGAGAGAGCAGGCTGGGGACTTGTCCTCGGGGACTTGTCCTCAGGTCCAGGGAGATTTCGAGTCCCATCATTGCAAATCAGGATTGTATATTACTACCCCATTTGATTATATAAATATCCACTTTTTTCTGTCATTAAAATTGAATAGGGCCCAGAGGGGGTTGAGAGTCTGGTGCATCAGGCATTTCATTTGCATTCATGACCATTGTGGATATATAAGTGTGTGGTGCTTCAAAACAGTACATTAAAAAAGTGAATTAAAAAGAGAACTTTTCATATACTTCAACCAGGAAGTATCCCATATGTTAGAGGTCGACCAATTCCTGGCATACAAACTTGAAGACAAGACTAAAAAAAGCCAGGTGGGAATAGCAATGACAGGGCTACACAGGTTTTAAATACAGAATGAATAATGAGACACAAATGATATACATGAGGGCAGGGCCGGTCATCAAGCAGCAGGAAAAATAACCGAGGAAGACACAGGGGAAAACAAATTACTAAACAAAATGAGAAATATAACCTAAACCATGACACCTATGCAGCTACATCGCCCTGTCTGTGTCCCTGTCTGTGAGGGAGGGGCAGCACTCATCACTCCAGCTTTAATCTTGGTCTCTTTAGTCTCTGGTCAATACAGCCCCCTCTCACCCTGACATTTAAAGGACCCACTAACTACAAAACACTCTTTGCGTCTGTTTTCCCTCTGTGTTTCTCCTCAATCCTCTTTCCCTCCGAGTGAATGTTGCTGAAGGGCATTTCGGTTTTGCGCTTCAATGGTTTTTTTTGGGGTGAAATAAGTATTAACAAGGGAGTTGGCGACAATCATGAAAGCCAGTAGTTTTTCTATAATGATTATTTCATTGAGTTGTTGAGATTTGTATGAAATTAACCACAAAAAAGCAAGATTTTCAATGTATGTCATAAGATTATACAATATTGTGTTTTGTAGGTCACACATTAAACTAAAAAACAAATAAACTAATGTAATTGAAGAGCAGGCAGAAAAATATGATCTACAAAAAAAAAGAAGGAAAATGGTTACCTGGAAACATGAGGTAATTTATGATAATAATAATGCATTGGTTTTATAAAGTGCTTTTAATGAAAATACAGTGTACACACACACACACACACACACACACACACACACACACACCAGACTCATATCAGGTGGGTGAAGTGTCTTGCCTTAGGACACAGCAGCTGTAGCCATCCCACTTTGGCACCTGGTGTTCCCAGAGATCTCCCATCGCATTACTTACCAGGCCCTGCCCTTCTTAGCTTCCGAGATTTTGTCAGAACTAGGCTTTGACATGCAGGTGGCGCTGTATGACTACAGTATATGAGTGGGTGGTTTTACACAAAAAATGACACCTAATTCTAAAATTTACATCAATTTTCTCCTTTGCATTTCCTCTTTATCAAGACAGAAATCTCCTTAGCTTCTTTGAGCGGTGCGCGGGGGCTTTGTCAGGTTGTTTTGACCAGACATGCCCATCGCCTTATTAAAAGATGAATTCAGATGATGCCTTGATTAGATTGCTATTCACGCACAGGAGCAGACTGATGCATTAAGTTGTTAAAGGGAATATTAAACAGCCCGATAAATGAACAGATAGGAGCAGGTTGGACTAAACGAGCGGGGAGGACGGTTTCATCATCTTTTTGACACCGCGTATTATTGGACAGACATTTAAAAGCCGGATTGACGCGCGGTCACATCTCTGCGTGATGGACAGCGCGGTGTCAGATCAAAAAGATTAGCGGACACAGGCGCTCGGGCTGCTAATCAGGACTGGGATTAAGGGAGTCATTTGTTGAGGCCAAAGATAGTCCCTGTTGATAAAAAGAGATACAGTTCGGAATTAGCATCGCTGAAGAAAGACGAGCTTGTATCATAGCCGGTGTGGGTTCTCTCATCATATCTAGATTTATTACAAGATACAATGCAAATGTTCCGTTTGAATCAAGGGATTGCTCAAAAATAAAGTACCAAGTTGTGTTTTATTTGGTTGTTTTTAATACGTCATCGTGGGATTTGGAAAACACTTCAAAAGGTGTACCAGTATGCAAATAGAATAGTTTTTTAGTTTTTATCTATCAAAGTTATTCTTCAAAAGGTGTCTTTCTGGGTAAATGTTAAGATTAAGAGATCCTTTATTTGTCCCACAGTGGGGAAATTTCAGTGTTGCATCACCAGTTACAGAACAGTAGGAATGAGGAGCACACAACACAAGATAAGTAAAAAATAACTCTATACTAAAATAACATTAAAATATTATTAATAACAATAATACAGAAGCAAGTTTGAAAATATCTAACTTTAGCATAAAAAGTGTAAAATACTTTATTCTCTTGTACAATAAATATATAGTTATATGTGTCTGTACATGTTAGCAGCATGAGAGTATAGGACAAAGTAAAGTGATACATGTGTGGTTCAATATTGCACATTCGGACATTATTCAAGTTATTATTGCACAAATAAGTAAAGTAAAGGCACATTATTTTTATACCGCAAAAATTAAGGCAAATTAGAAATGTGAATATGTGTGGTTTCATATTGCATATTCTGACATTAGCCCAAAAAAAACACTCCAAACTGCGGCGTGCTGGACAATTTCGGTCGTCTGTGTGTGTTTTTTTTGTGGCCCTCTGCTCAGACAAACTAGCCATTGAGATCATAAACACAAATTCATACGTTGATGGGAGCGTTCTGAGTTGTACAAACCTTTTTTCCATTTTATTCGTTCAGTGGCTCTCTCGTTGATATTGGATCATGCTTGTGTTTACACCCTTTCAACTTGTAATCAACAATAAACGTATAGCTTTTGTTTCCTAATGTAGAATGACTACGGTTAAACAGTGAAACGCTAACACAATGCAATTCACCCAGAGTGAAGTAACATTAGATGCGTAAATATTTGTCAGAAGCTTTTCCTTGCACCTTTCCACACCGCTGCACGTGTTGACAGATGACTGAATCCCATTGTTTCTTGTAGTTTAATCGTCTCTGTATCCTGGGATCATTAGTTACACACAGAAGCCCGACCGCATGTCTTTCTCATCCCACTGTTCAACACGTCCTTTCAACTCTCTCTCTCTTTCTATATATCCCTCCCTCTTCTGTTATAAATAATGTATCCTTTACTTCACAGATGTCTGTTTTCCTTTTGTCAGATGTGTGTGTTGGAGCATAAATACATTCGCAGCTTTACGTGACAAGTGTGGTAATGTGCTCTAGGTTCGACACAGAAGGCCACGCGGTCCACAGCCAATCCCTGACGGAGTCGCGGGCCGCTGGTGGCGGAGGAAGAGTGAACTGGAAAACACTGAACGATGTTAAGACTGAGCAAATGGGACACAGAGATAAGGTACAGCATTCACAGAGCACACATGTATCGGTGTATGAAGTACATGTATATGTGTGTGTGTCTAACTGGATTCTGTTGGACCTTCGTGGTTGGATAGGTTATTGAATTGTATCTGGATGTTGGAAAGAATTTTTTTTTGCATATCAAATGGGTTGGGTAGCACTGGTAAGCATTTGTGGTTAGACATTGGTTGGTTCTACATCCATTCAGGTTCTTTCTGTGTGGAGTTTGTATGTTCTCCCCATGTCTGCTTTGGTTTCCTCCAGGTGCTACGGTATCCCCTACCTCTAAAATCGTGTGCAATAGACCCCCGGGTCGCTCCTCAACCCCACTACTGCCCATCTCTCTGGGGCCAGGACTACCCTGAAAAAGAGATTCCAAAATCTGAGTAGGACTTCCTGGTTAGATAAAGATCAATAATAAAGAATGTTTTTTGTAAAGATATTTTAATTACTGGTGATCCATGTTGAAATGCTGTGTGGACCCGGGGCAACAGGGAGAAAGATAGACTTCCAACTTTCAATATACCCCAGGGAAGCAATACATTTTGTTGCTGTTATTTTATTTATTTTTTACCTTAAAGACGTAATATGAGTAAGTATGTATTCCCATGATTTTCAGAGCAACTGTATTCTATGTACTAGACGTTAAAGTAGTTACTGTAACGGAATTCTGTTACTTAAAAAAAGTATTCTGAATACCTAACGGCTTTTCATGTATTCAAACACTGAAAATACATGCAAATTATTGATAGATTTTATAGTGTGCGTCTGGTAGAGGCTCAGATTCAGACTACTTTATTTATCCCAACTGGGCCAATTTGTTTGAGCAGCACAGGGCATAACAACATATTAAAACACAGAATGCACAAAAAAGGTCAAACACTAACATTATGAAAGTGAGTTATCGCATCGATCCTACTGACATCCACAACGGAATACTTCACTATCAATACTTTTACTTTTGCTTTGACTGCTGTGATGGGCCATACAGTATATAACTTAGTACTTAGACAACTCAAAGACCAAATATCCTACAGTTTCTTACATAAATACACAAGGTTCCCATTGTTGCAAAGTCAAACACGAATATTTTGTGTTGATAATTTCCTCCAAGATGTGAGAAATGCCTCTGAGAAGAAGGCGTCATTTCTACCAAAGACTTATTAGAAACGTCCAAATGTGCCTGTGAAGTCACTTTCTGAATTTCCAACGCTCTTTAAAAGGGATTGGCTCACGTTGCAGAGAACAGAGGGATGAGCCACAGATAAGAGAAAGCCGAAAGTAGAGGAAAATCTTCTAATTTGTGTTGCAATTTCCCCTGGATCTCGGCGCCGCAGCTTTGTGAATACTTTGGGTGCCGTCAGACTGATACGTGAGTCATGAATCAGCCTCGTCTCTGTGGGGCAGTTGGGTGGGTTTTTGAAGAAGAATGAAAGGGGGAGCCGCCAGAGAACGCACAACAAACGTCTATTGGAGTTTGATGGAAGAGAATGTTTGAGACAGCCACAGAAAACGGAAGGTTTATTGTGAACCGCACAGATTGAAAGGCGGCTATTTCTATCGAAGTTCTGCTGCGACTAGTCATGTTTTCATTGGACGGTCACTTAGTTTTGGACAGTACTATGAAAACACATTTTGCTAATTATTTCATAGGGATGTGCAGATAATCGCAATATTCTTGTACTAGAGAGTATTACAGATTACAGATGTTTACTTATAAGTATACAGTAGAGAATACAGTATTTGTTTTTCTTTTTCCAGCTAAGGATAGACATTAATTTATTTTCTAAAGTATGGAGTTTTTCTATATTTGTGTGCTCCTCATTCATACTGTTCTGTAAATTGTGATGCAACACTGACATTTCCACACTGTGAGACTAATTAAAGATCTTAATCAATTGTTGCTGAAATAGAAACAGCCTCCGGTAGTGACAGAGGTGGACAACATATTGAAACATGTATTATTTTAAATACTACTTTTGCAGTACATGTACATAACTCAAAATGACTGAAAACCAGTAGTGTAAAATCAGAACCAATATATTGTTTTACTTTGAGAAAAACACAATGCGCCGACCGGTCATGTTCACACCACTCCATGTATTACACCTACAGGGACAATAAAGTGCACATTGACATTTACTGTATATAGTTTACTTTGATCCCTGTGCTTTTGTCTGATCAAGTCTATATATAATTTTAAATACATAAAAATATGACAATAGACCCATTGTGTTATTTTATAATCTTTGTCCATTTGCCCCCATGGCCTAATGGTTCCTATGTGTATGTTATTACTCAATGTCCTGAATTCGGCCTATTTGATTCTCTGATCTTTTTTTTGGCAAATTAGCTATTTTTTAAAAGTCCCTGAGACCTCTGCTGTGTTTTGGAGTTATACAAAAATCCATTGAATTAAATCGAATTGAATTAAGGAATCATCAAAGACACCCATTGTTAATTTCTTTGTCCTAAGGTTAACTATTCCCGGAGAGAATATCCAGCCCTTGTTCAAACGTTTATAATAATATATTCACATTTCTAAATTGCCTTAATTTTTGCTGCATCAAAAACGGCTCTGAATTCCAATTTGTCATCAGCAAGAAAAGGGGATTGTGACAAGCCTCAGTGCAGCCCTCACCCACATTGGATCTGTTTTTGTCTACTCATAGTTCTTCTGATGCCACAGCTGCCCTGGGGCAGCCCATAACAATACACGCAGATATACATTTCTCTCATCTCACGCTAATTGGAAATGAATTGAGACACAAGCAGTGAAGTTGTCGGGCAGAAATTACCACCGTTTATGTAAATTGAATGCCTTTCTTTGTGAAGCTACATAGAGATTAGACTGAAGAGGATTTTCTGTAAAACATAAAAGCCAAATTTATGTGAACAAGCAGGGATTTTGTCATGTTTAAAATGACTGCTGCTTAGTGCTGTTTGAATGTTAGTATTCAGACAAACAAATGCAGCCGGTCTCCAGTCAGTGTAAATAGACCAGGCCTGGGGCTGTGTTGTCCTATGACTTCATGGATTACAGTTGTGCCTTTCCTGTTGTCGCTGTGCTGTGCAGATAGTGAAGCTCGTGTTAGCAAAACGACATTACACACTATATGAGAAACAAGCTGCGTTTTAGCACAGAGTAGAAAAAAAAACGCCATTTGTGCGTGTCAGTCACCATCGTCTAATTGATGTGCTATATCTTCGCGGAGTCTCCCTCATCCCTTTGCTTAATTATAAACTACTTAAGGCTTGCCGCAAGATCAATGTCGTTATTAAATAAAGAAATCGAATAATGCGTCACTGTTTAGGAAAGCCATTGAGAAGAGACGGCTTAAAGTTCATGGCACTTAATTAATGGTTCTTCTTCACACAGTGCTTCTTTGGGAGAAAATTAGACAAACAATTAGATAAAAAACTAGCCATGATTCGCAAACTTTTCACAAGAACACACAAAAAAAAATGGGGCAATGGTACTATACATTTTTAAATAGGGGCTATAGCAATGGCCTATATACACTGCTAACACAAGCTAATATTCATTTTTCTCCCTCAGTGGGGGCGGGTCCCGGCTCAAAAGTGGCCAAAATGATGTGCGCTGACATGCCTGCAATACCAACCCGGGCCAGTGGGGTGGACCCGGAATAAGAATCAGCCAATGCTAACATATAGCATCTTCTTAGCTCTCGAAAACGTCTTTACAGGATGGTCCAAAAGTTGGCACTTGTTGTCAATGCTGAGGGGAGTGACATTTTTTTGACTCGTCTAGTTTAGTTGCTGTGTATTTTTGAAGGCACTTGTTAAATGAACGGGGCTCGTGCTGGCTGATGCATCTGCAGATGCGTTTTTTCACATTTTCCAGCCCCCGCAACAATTTTGAAATTGCCCATAGACCGCGGAAGTTGTGGTACATTAAAACGGCGAAGATAGGCGTGACTACGTTTGTTAATATTTACAGTCTATGGTCTCCCTTTACTTCAGTTGGAAAGTAAAAGCATATTTCTTGGCCACCATTCTGGGTTTTAACTTTTAGAAGTCTTTTCCCTATAGTTCATGACGAATAAGAATTGACCAATCAAGTGTTCTCTCTGTTTATTGCTTTGGCTAGCAAATAGTGAAACCAAGTAAGCAACCAGCTCAGGGACTACAGGTGTAAATTAGCTCTCCTGCTACAACCCGGTACAACCTGAACACTGTGAAGCACTTTGGGTGAGCTTGGTCTGTAAAGGGAAGACAGTGGGTCAGTTGGTAGAGCATTGGCCTTTGAGCCTGAAGGTCGTGGGTTCGAGCCCACCCATGAGCCCACCGACTCCCACTGATGACTGCTGTCGTTGTGTCCTTGGGCAAGACACTTAACCCCACTTTGCCTGAAGCCCCCACTGAAAGATCAAGGCTCCTGTGGACTCACCACCTGCAGGAGGATCAGTGACGGGCTGGTGCAGCTCTGACTGCCACCCCCCGACCTAGAAATGGATCAAGGGGAAGAAAATGAATGAATGAATGAAAATTACAATTCTTTACTTACTGGTACAATGTATCTCTCCTTTTTAGCTAATGTTTATTGTACACTGTCCCTGTAAAAATAACTATTATACCACAAAAGGACCAACCCTGCCCCTGAATGGCTCTTGATGTTTCTTTGAGGTTGCTATGAGAAATTTTGGCTCAAAATTCACACTCATAGAGATTTTTAGAGCAGCTCAGAGGCCAGTCTATGGCTTGAACCTAAATGTTACAATATACGTGATGTTGTTATGTCGGTAAGCTTCATTCATTCTGCAGTTTCACAGATATATATAGACAGTAGGGCTGTCAAACGATTAACATTTTTTTGTTGATTAATCGCATAGTAATGGTGAGTTAACTCATGATTAATCGCATTATTAACATTCTATTTCAAATCCACTCCAATTGAAGTTAGAGATTATCAAATGTAATGACACATTGTCATTCATACCAAATGTACTTAAATCTGTTAAGATTTGCTCACAACCT